GCCTTAACTAGTTCGGAAAGATGAATCCGTCAAGAAACAGCAATCAAAGTGTTGGCCGAGATAAAAAGTGTTCCATCTGCTCCGGCATATTTTGAATTGAATAATTGAATTTTCCAATTGAGAGTTCTGATTTAAGTGGCTATAAGTGATCAACATCCCGTCAGTATTCAAAAGGAGCCGAAAATTTTGAGTTTTAAAAAAAAATTGCAGGAAGATGTTACACAACAAAATCCGCACAGTGTGTCTGCGGGATATGAATTTGACAAGTCCGCCTGTAGTTTCAGTATTCCTTGAAAAATGCAGTGAATTAATAATCATTTTCATCATCAGAATCAGAAGGAGAAGATAAATAATTTTTTTTTTATGTTGTTGATGTTATCTTATTGCTGGCGACAAAAGGAGCCCGCAGACATTTCTTGGTCAGCGGTACTCTAAAAGCTGTATGGCGAAGTTTTCCCAAAACTGTCCACCTTCTTGCGATGCTCCTGTTGTACCGACTAACACGCATGGTATGTGGCCGCGAAGGCCGTGGTGTTGAGTATAAGGTCCGTCTGATGTCACAGTTATCAAGTGAATGCAAATGCACCTGATGCAACAATCATTGTTCGACTCGCAAGCACACATGATTCGTGAGCACAAGTACTGTATCAATTATGAGACTTTTCGATTCGCCTTGCCGGCCGGGTATTTATTTACCCAGGAAAATGAACGTAGAGGCTGATCACAGCTTAGTGCGGGAAGAGAGTGTTAAGCAAAGTTTAGAAATCCATGTAAATTAAGTTTATTCAGGTTTCACTCCAGTCCATGCTTTTTGTATTTTGATACGTTTCCAAGGATGTTACGTCGCTTGTCATCTGAAAGCTTCAATGTGCTTCAAACTCTAGTGGTAAACTAAGCTTTTTTTATTATTTTCTTTTTCATATTTACAGATGTAAATATTTTTGCCCCATTGTAATTTTATTATTGTACTGTCACCGCCGTAGCCAGTATGAGGCGAACCGAGGCACTTGCCTCGGTAAAATTTTATCAAATACTGTCGATTTTTATTTTTTTTATCAGACTGATAATATTAGAAGATTTCATACGGCTGATTTCGTACAACGGACCGTGTGTTCGCCTCGGTTGTAGTTTCTTCCTGGCTACGGCCCTGATTGTTTTGTTATTATTGTATATTACGGCAGAATAGCCCTGTATAGAGGAGTCGTAATAAAGTGTATGCTACGTTATGTTATGTCATATCAACAGCCTTTGGTAACGATTGAATAATAAGACTTCGTGCGGTCGTGACTGCCTACATTTAAGGTTGAGTGTTGTGTCACGCATTACTGTTTCAATGTATCTTTGCCTGCAAATACAGCCTTCTCTCCTCGCTCCTCACCATACTCACCTTACTGGCCCTATCCAAGCTCTTCGCCTTGGCAACAGCATCATAAAGTGGACAACCTCAGAAAGACTCCTCGGAGTACAAGTTGATAATAAGTTGTCCTGGTCTGTAGCGAAGTCCTTGCGAGTTCTCCCTCAAAACCAATTAGAAGATTTCTACACAAAAGTGATACTGCCATCAGTTACGTACAGTCTGACAGTGTGTGGATCGTGCAACAAGACGCACCTAGACAACCTGGAGAAACTCCATGCAAGGGCTGGACGGATTGTATATGGTCTGCCATGGGACACCGGCGCTGAAGATGTCTTAATGCGAACTGGATGGGACAGTCTGGAAACAATGTACAAACTGCGGCTAACGGAGTTTGACTTTAAGTGTTTAAAAGGTTACACCGTCACGGAATTTAAAGATTTGTTTTTACAGAGAAATTCAGGCCGCAGAAGAAATGACAACATCATTCTTCCAAGACCAAAAAAACAAATTTTACCAGGAACTCCATACGGTTTAGAGGAGCAATCGCAGGGAACACTTTGACGAACAAGGAAACAAGGGCCAAAACCTTGAAAGAATTTAAACGCTGTCTTGTAAAATTGATACCAATAAAATGCACTTCGAACCAATCTTAGCTACTACTAAAAATAGAGATATCGGTTACGAATACTTTTAACAGTATCAATTTTTAATTGTACATTTTCACGACCTATTTTAAACATTTTTAACAGTTTTTAATTTTTAATCGTACATTTGCTTTCAGTACTTCTTATTTTTCTTGTAATTGTTAGTATGCACGACCCCACCAGCAATGCTGCTCCTTTTATCGTGCTAAAATAAAGTTCTTATCTTATCTTATCTTATCTTACCATTCGCAGGCTAATTGTATCTAAGCAACTGTGAATAAAATCGTTGAATTAAACATGACTTTTGTTTACTGTGTTGTTCAATTCAGTTTCTACGCTCGCGATCCGCAGTAATTCCTATTGTTGACACTGAAACCTAAAGGGGCTTTCCCGATCTGATTCACGTACACAATTATGAAAGCGGTTCTCATCAATCACATCTCTAAGGTAAACCCACATGTTCGCCTGCCCTTCCTAACCATCGGTTACTGCTAGTATATCCTTTTTACTAATTTTGACTGATCTTGGTCTTTTTTGATTTAACGTTGGGCAAGATTGATCGTACACGGTTTTTTGCCTTGGTCTTGTACCTTAATTTTTCAATACAGTATCTGTTATATTTAGAGAAAAAGTAACCCGTCCAGTATCTCGTATTTCCATTGAACTTCCCTTTACGGTTATAATTTCAAATAAGAACACGTGAGATAAGCTATTCGACATACTTGATCCACGGCTATTGTTGCTCTGTTTTTGCCCTGTTGGATTTTTCCACTGAATGAGCTTTGTTGGTAGTTAAATTCTGAAAACTTAGGCGCTTCCAATTCAGCCGAAAATTCCGGCAATTTCGGTTCAAAATCAAATGGAACAGACGATTTCTTATGGGTCAGACCAGAATATTTGGGACCAGCTTTGAGGTGTTTGACCAGTTCTACCTGTCGGACCGAAATGTTCCTTTGCAATTGACAAAGACTCACAAAATTGTTGTACTCTGTATTCAGTTGGGTTTATAACCGCAACTTAATTGATCAAGCTAAGCCGAGGTAAATAATGTGGCGAACCAACATTCCCACAATACCTTAGATGTGTTATTTATAACTGGTGAATCTGGCTTATAGCTACAGAATGGCAAAGGAATGAAAGAGAGCCAAAATGAAAGATCGACAGTATATTCGCAAAGAATTTTCGGTTAAGCGCGCATACTAAAAAAAAGCGCAGCTCAATTTAAAGCTCAGTTATATCCAGTTGGCAGAAAAATATGACCTATGTATTGGACACATCACTTTTAGCATTTCCATTCTAACGGGCTGAAAACCTCAGCTGAAAATCTTTCCAAAAAGGAGTTGCATTCCCCGTCAATGATGATAACCTTTACTTTCGACAAGGACTTCATTCGATTGGCGCAGGTCCCAAAAGACCCAAAACAATTAAACAAAAATCAAATAGTATGCAGTTTTAGTCTGGTTTTTTGCTTTGTTTTCTTTTCAGACCAGCGTAAGTCGATAAAGTTCGTCTCGAAAGTAAAGGTTATCGTGAGCATCTTTATAAATCTGACACTTATCCGGGATTACCCAGGATCAAGTGAAAATAGTGTAAATCATTGCAATCCCTTTCCTTTTAGTGATAACCATATGTTGAATCTTACTATAATCTCTCTTGAATTAATCAGCTATGTTATTCAAATAACAATAACTTTTCTTGTTGTTTTATTTTTTTACAGCTATTCCCAGCCAGTAGATTCAAGGGAGGGTTTTGAGCATGCCAGGCCTGAGAGCAAGATCCCCGGGGCTCTTATTTCCCCCTTGCGCAATAGCACCCCGGAAAGCTTGCTCGCAGGCAAAACCTCTCTTCTCTCCGTCTCTCTGAGCTCTGTTGTCGCAGGCTAGCTAGAGCGTACTGCTTAGCTACTTACCAGTCTACTACGCAGGCAGCCTCTCTTTGTAACACAAAGCGCGGTTACGCATTAATTAACTACTTAATGACACATAGAACTGGGGTGGTTAAGTAGAGGTGATTAGGTGGTAGATCATTGTGGTCATGTAAAAAAAGTCTCGATTACAAGCTTCTCACCTAAAAAACTATTATTATTATTATTATAGTTTTTATTTTGCGACAGCTGGTACTGTTTGTAAAATATTTCTTTTTTCTTCCCTTTCTTTAAATTTGTGTGTCTCTTCCCCCGCCTCGAATTGGCTCTCCTATACGCGGGTGGAAGCTATCGTGAAATTGTAAATTGAAATTGAATGAATAAAGTTGAAGTATTATTATTATTATTATTATTATTATTATTATTATTTATAATGCTTGAGGAAGAACCTGTAAAACCCACTCTTATCCGCAAGCATTTGCCAGCTTTCGTGGGGAGGGTACTCCTCTATTTAGTAAAGCAAATTCTAGAATCAATATTCTATCTTTCCTCAGACCCAGAAATATCTGTAGGGTGAGAAAGGATGAAGGCTTTTTTTGCTGTTCTAGACACATTCAAACCACGACAAACTTGTAACTTAACACGGTTTATAAAGAATTTCTTATCATGCTTAACTACATTAAAATGACCATACAAGTAGTTGTTGTTCAAGAAAGCCAGGCTAGACTTTCATGAAAAATCCGTTTTGAGTTGTAGGAGCCGATTAGTAATCGGCTCCTGTGATTGGTTAATCGTTCAGGAGATAAAGCGTTCCTCGCTTAAAAAAAGTCGACACCTTAGCGGGAGTCAACGTGATTAGACAATAACACACTGCATGCTGAAACTGCTGAGAGGAAGATTAGGGAAATATGCAAGTCTCAGTCAGATTGCCTTATTTGTGATACCCTTCAAACCACCTACTCCACCCTAAGTAAATTTCAAGGGCATGCCACAAGGACCCCACCCTGTGATTCCGGGGCTTCCTTGTGTAATTGAGCGTTTCATTCATCAGGCATCGATCACACAACTCCAGCTGCACGTAGACAACACAAACACGTACAGAACATTGTTTCACATCACCTCACCCATAGCAAAGATGTCTGAACCAACTCAAGACGAAATGGATGGTAACTAGGCAATTTCATTAATTTTCTCTTCAATTTATCTAAGTGAATTTTTAGGATTTTGATTTTTACTTAACATTTGAAGAATACCGAGATGCGTTCGCCCTCTTTGACGAGCAAGGAGACGGTAAAATAGACTGCAACCAGATCGGAAAGTTGCTACGCTCGTTAAATCTTAACCCCGAAGATGAAGATATTCGCAAGATTGAAAAAGATGTCGGTAAGTCATAAGTCCGTTTTACTTATCAACCTGACTTGGTATGCGCTTCAACAGTGCTCTTCAAGTACGTAGCACTTCTCAGGATTAATATTTTGGGGATCTTCATACTACATCAACATTCACTCTTTTTGTAGTAGCGCCAGCGATGCCGGATTAAAATATGACAATTGCAAAACTAGTTAATAATTTCGTATAGCCGATCCATTTAATCTCTCTTCTCGTGTAAAGATAAATTTTGGTTAGCTATCTACTGTAGATCAGACAAATGGGAAATAGGTTTGAGCTACTGCGATTGTACAAGAGACACTCAGACAGAGGCGCAGCCAGGGTTATTCTATATGTTTATACTGCCTAGTTTCCTTCCTGTGTCAAAGGATTTAAAGGTCTTTTTAAATGTTTCAATCAAGTTATTTCGCAACAAACTTTCTTATATTGTCACGCAAAGATATCAGTCGGTAAAATACGTTTGTGATCATATATTGGACTGTGAGCGTAAACCGAAAAATCGTTGAGGCATTTTTGTAGCCAGCAAAATGACACAACTATTCTTTGAAATGTGGTTTTAAAATAACAAATGAAGACAAAAAAGCCATCAAATGCACAATGGGTGTGTTGTTATTTTGGTAATATATACATCTGTGGACTTCTACAGAAGATCAATCATTTTGATTTACTTTTCAGAGTAAGGTTAAAGTTATCATAACTTTGCCTAATTCCTTCACGCTGATGAGCACCAACGTTCGCTTAATTGAACATGTAGTAAAACAAATGGCCAAAATAAAAAAAAGAAGGATTGCTCGCTTATGTAGCATGATGTAGAAGACAAATAATTTCAGAGATTATGTTTCATACACGACACAAGAAAATAAGGTTTTCTGGTATTAAGTTGTACTGCCCGAATTTAAATTATTAAGACTCTGCCTCCGGGCATCGATAGTGCAAATTAGAAGGATGATCATTAAAACAGCCATTGTTTAAAACTGGCAGTAATTTGTTATGAACTGCTGTAAAATCTTATCTTGCACAATTGATTGCTTTTGGTAAGGTCTCCTTAAAAAACGTGTCAGTGTTTCTCTTTTGTTGTAGACATTCAAGCCTCAAAGGAGAGAGCACCTAAAAATGAGTAAACAACTTTGTATAGTCTGGCTATTTTTAAGGAGGCTGCCAGTCGTACCCCTTCAGTAATTTCATACTAATCGCCTTAATTGATTTGCGGCGTAATCTTGAAATTATCTCGCATACAGGGCAAAATTTAAGCAGGCAGAATGATTTCGTACAAAGTAAGCCTTGTACTTTGCTTTAAACAACTGTTAAACTACCTTGTTCTTTTTCCACTGATGGAATGTAACCTTTGCCTACTCGTTGGGTTGGAACCGAAAGAAAATATATCTCTGTCATCAGGATCATTTTTGTTGATGTAGTTTGTTATGTTTCCACGCATATTTGGCGTGTTCGCTTGCAGGGCTATCGCTCCTGGTTCTTAGTAACAGGAAGAAGGCTCAACGTGAAAAGCGAAACTTCCCGTTTAAAACATTGCGCCGAGACTCGGTTCTAGGCAAAGTCATTGACGATTTTCATACCTTTAATGATTTAAGGCAAACATAAGATTCCACGCAAAAAACGTTGACGAAGATGTATTTGTACATAGACTGCAAAACAGTCCGTATTTTTGCGTATTCAAGTACGCGCGAGCAGTCAAACAAATAGGCCTGGAACGAGGCTGAAAACAGAGAGCGAGCCCTATGGGCGTGTGAGGCTCGCGCGCTTCGTGCGTGTAAGACTCTCGATTTCTTAACTGATTTTGGGAAAAAACCGACTGTTTTGCAATCTTATTTGTACATAGAGAAAGTTGAAAAACTGGACTGTGATCATTTAGCATTGAAAGAAGTTTAAGTTCCTTTTCTTTTCAGGAAATCGGCGCGTTTCGTTTGAAGAGTTCCTGCCTATCTTTATGAAGGAGAAAAAGAACAACAGAGAAGTGTCTGTACAGGAGTTTATAGACACTCTGAACGTGTTCGATAAGGACGGCGCCGGCAAAGTATCATCCGGGGAACTTCGTCACGTGCTAACGGCATTGGGTAAGTACGTGCCGTATTTATTCGATTAAACGCCGCAGCGTTTTTATTAAATTTCTAACGTTTCCAATGCGGCGTTTATTCAAGGGCGGCTTTTATTTCGAAATCACTTTTTTTTTAAATCACTGACAACAGTTATTGTAAATCGTTTGTAAATATTATGTAATTTAAAGGTTCCAATGTCTCTCTTATTTTGCTGAGATAGAATCGTAAATGTCTGGATGGTGTAAATTACCAAGTTGTACTAAGGTTTTTTTATTAACCTCGAGTAAACGCCGCATTCGTCTGATTAGGTGCGGCGTTTATTCGTGGTAATTTTGCTTCCGTCTACTGCGTTTGATCAAGGGTGGCGTTTATTCGAGGGCGGCGTCTAATCGAAAGGATACGGTCTGGCGACAAGATATGGGCCTTTTAATGTAAACAAGGCGCTCCCATAACCACTTATGGTGTATATTTGTGTTGAAATTTTATTTTGGTCTAAATGTTTCAAACTTATTATTGGACATTGCCTGAAGACAGACGAGAAAGAAAAACCAAACACAAACTTAGGCTTTGCCGTGTGCACAGAGCCTTCCTTCTTTCAGTTTAGCTAAAAATTGTTCGGGAATATTTCCCGGCGCTGGTTTACGATCAAGGACTGTATCTTTCTATTCCACTAAATGCTTTTATTCTCTCTCAAGTTGAGTTCAATGTTACACTCTCAATGTCTATCCCATTCTAAACTAGAGCTCTAAATACATGAATGACTTATACTTTGACAAAAGAGAAATGCAATAATGCTGCGGTTAATTCTTGGCTCCCTGAACCCTATTGTAATGCCTAGCTTTCAATCTTTACGAGGCGGCAGTAACTAAGGGTCCCAGTCCCCAGGGGTAGTAGAGTCCCGTTTGCCACTTTTTACTCGAGAATGAAACCGGAACGAGTTAACTTTCGCAAAGACCTCTGGGACTGTTCCTAAATAAGCAAATAGTGTCCCCGGTAACGATCCCATAAGCAATTGCGGTGTTGCAGTCCCCCCTCCCCCAAACCGTTTCTAAAGTGGCCAATTAGATTCTTGTGGACAAATGACTGAAATGACGACCTAAGACCAACCTAGTTCACATCGCTTTTTACTGGAAAAAGCCCTTGGGGTTTCACAACAGTTTTATTGTTCACAGTTTGATAAAACTATTTTACTACAAAAACTTTTAAGTGTTTGAAACTGATACTTTTGGCACCAATAGGCCACTTGCACGATGACGACATTTTACTACTACGACCAAAATGCTTCAAGGTTTTGCTTTCTTGTGCAAATTGTGGCTTTGTTATTTAATCCTTGCTGGGATTACCAAATTTAAAAATGGAAGGGAAAACGTAAAGGATTCTGGTCGTAGTAGTAAAATGGCACCATCCTGCAAATGCCCTACTGTGAATATAACCTTCACGGGCGTGAAGTGCTTTTTACCGAACGTAATGAATAAAATCCCCAGTAGCAATCCCAGATGTAGAAACAATTGCGAGAGACATTTCGGCTCCAGTTCCCTTTTCTTGTTTCTAAAGTGGGGAATGCCTAATAACACAATACAAAAAATGCCTCAGACGTTCGACCGCGCTGAACCTGTGTATGACTGAAACTAAGACTTGGACATCTCACAGGGGACCCAAGTAGTAAGTACAGTAGTGAACAGACCAATTTGAGCACTGAAGCAAACGTACCAACTCCGCTGTATGGCCAGTACCTTACGCATGCGCGCAACCATATCACCCTGGTAGTGGCAGCCATGGACGCATTCCGTGGGAGAACTGTTTTACGGTTCTCAACCAACACCTAACACTTGTCTACGGTGGAGCTGGCGCTTAAAGGAATGCTTTGCACTCGCCTCGGCAGTAAAAGGCCTCTGAGAAAGGCGCGCTTTGTCCTTACAGAGGTCCGATGGCTTTGCCATACATATGAGTTGCCATGTGTACTTCAGTGCTTAACCCCCGCCATTGTACCACATTCTTTTTTTGTTCTTGTAGGCAACAAGCTTAGAGGTCGCGAAGTCGATGAGTTGTTCAGTGACGTCGGGGAGTATCACGGATTTATTCACACAGCAGGTATTTGCCTAGTTTCAGGGTACGAGTAAGTTTTCCGAGGCGCTCTGGCGGCGGGGTGGGAAAAGGAAGGAGAACCTTCAACAACGTCTCTGGAATTTGAATTCCGCCTCCAATTCCCTTGTGGCTCCCCGTCGACGGAGCTCTCAGATTTCCGCCAATCAGCGCGAAGTGGAAACGGGCGCGAACAAAAATTAATAATAATAATAATAATAATAACGGTTTAATATCAGTACATCCATGGTACGGCTCTTCGCCTGATATAAGAGTGAAATAAGGAAATTTAAAAAAAATACAAAAATCTGAATTATGAATTTGTAAAAAGCTAGGTATTATACAGTAAAATGTAATTATACAATATACACATTATTAAAAACTAGGCAAGAAATTATTCCGCTCTATTTCGGCAGCGCTCCCTTAAAATACATAATGTTTGCTTACTGAAGGATTTAAAATTATAACAGCATTTAACGTTGGATGGCAGAGAATTGAAGAGGGCTGCCGCGCTATACTGAAGTGTCCGAGGCATTGGGAATAACTAGATTTATGGTACTTGATGACCGTAAATTTCTAGCATGCCTTACTTGCTCAAGCGGAGGGTTTCTGGGCCAATCATGAGAGTATATAGCTTTGTGCGCGGCCTTTAGAACGTGCTATTCTCTACGTTCTTTCATAGGCAACCAGCCTAACTTAAGAATAGAGTCAACTTTGTTCACATAGCGTCCAAAAACAAAACTGGCTGCCGCAAACTGGATGTGCTGTAACCTTTTTAAAAGGCAATCGGTAAAAATTGAAAAACACGTGAAAGCACGCGCCAAGGGTAATGGCGTCATTACTAATTTCATCTCAGCCATCAGCATTGCGTACTCCTGCCAACAGATAGCAAAACAGATAGCAGACCAGCAAACAGAAGTCCCAGTGACAGCTTATAATGTTAACCGTTTTACTTTTCTTTTTATCCCCAGATTTCGTGAAAATGGTCATGTCCAACCCATAGCCAAGAAAGGAGACTCGTGTATAATGGCAGATATATCATTTTTTAAAATACGGCATTTACTCAAAACAGCGCCCTTGACTCTAACGCCTCGTCTTTTTAAAGTAATTGAGTAAATTATAAACTTAAAGAATTCTTCTAAATACACATTAAAACTTGTCTTTTTAAGGAAAAGAGTAATATTCTTTTTCAATTTTTTAATGAGACAGCAGAAAATTTGATAAGAGTGGCGGCAACTTTTCAAGTTGATATAGAAATCGGCCAATGTAGCTGATAAAACAAGACTTTCGATTTTCCTACGATAACGTACGAAATGTATGGCCGGTATGCAACCTCTTTCCCAGGGTTCTCTCCTAAGGTGGGTAGGAGAGAACCCTGGGAACGAGGTTGGGCCGGTATGGAGTACAACGATAGCCCTCAAGCAAATTTTATCAGCAAAAGAGGTTTACCTTAAGCCAGTAACGTCCAGTAAGCTACCCAGGGAGCCCAAGTCGGCGCAAGTGGAATCGGCCATGTTTGGATTCTCCTCTTAGGCTGCTGAATTTGTTTCACTAGCTGGGGAAGCTTGATTGGTTTCCAAATCTGGGGCAGTTAAATTTCTAAGAGCCTAGCGGGTTTATTTACCGTTGGAGTTCAAATTTCGTAAATAACGAGGTTTTAGAAAGGGAGCGATGGCGTCTGAGATATCATCTGTTGCCACCTACCTTGTCAATTATATTGAATGGAGGGAGAATTTGAGCATGCTAATATTATGAAACTTCGTGTGGGCGTTAAGAACAAAAACAACTAAGTGCAAAGGAAGTTCATTGAGTTTTATTTGGCATTCCCTACAAATTTTAGGACCGCAACTTTACCCCATGCAAACAATCCAATTTTACAGGAATCGTACGGTTTTTTCCCCACTATGCGTCATTTTTAATAGGATAAAGCTCCAAACAATAGCGTTCAAGCTTAGTACTTTCGTTTGTAATTACTCAAAGAGTTTTTCACTCTCTTCATCGTAAACAGCCTTGGTTGGAAGAGTCGGGCGCAAAAAGCGACTGGAAACCAAAAGTATTCTTGCCTTCATAAACATCCGCTGCCCAAAGAGTTATCCCAACCGTCTCATTCGTATGAAGAGTTTCAATGAGCAACCTCGTTACTAGTTTCCCCGGCTCTTTTGCCGTCCCAAGGACCTGGGAAGGAGCTGGGGTTGATCAGTAAGCTGTGACTTGGTGAACACTTTAAGTGAACTTCTGCTCCTTACTACAATCAGCGTCAAAGAGAAACAGCTGGAATGAGATATTGAAGGGAAAGGTCTTCATGAAGCAAAAGGAACTGAACAGCTTTCCCATGGACGATATCTAAGAAAAAAATAACAACAGAGACAAAGTTTAAATTTTCACTGTCAGATTTTCTAGCTGGCTGAATGACGTCTTCTAATTGCACCTTGTAATAGGCTCGTTAATGCAGAGTGGGGTGAAAACCAAAGGAGTGATAAAGATGTGACGTTCCTCATAAAATATTATAAGCGCAGATAAATATCAACCTATTAGGACCTGGGAACGACGTTACGTGACAGCAAGGTTCCGAAGTAGCGTGACAGCAAGACTTGGCCGAAGCTGGCTTGACGGCAAAGGTGAATTTCCACAGTAATTTTTACGTACGTACGCTCGTAAAAATGGGGCAATGTATGAAGAGTCGCTCGCAAACGTAAAAGATGAACCTCGCTCAGCTTTAACGTTTGCGCGCGACCTTTCATACATTGCCTCAATTTTATTTACGTACGTAAATTTTACGCGAAAATGGAAATTCGCCCTTAAGCTAGGACCCTACACATTCGAGCAGGTACCGTCACTGTAATGGTAGAAACGTACAGATTGGAAGTTCGAGTTGTAAACCACGGCATTCAACGGTAGAAAAAATATTATATACTTACTGCATATGACTTTACTTGGGTTAACTTGCTGCCCGTGAAGAAAAGTCGCCAACTTTTTTATATCGACTCTAGCCTCTACCATCTTGTCAGGATCACGGTTGTGGTTTTGCGAAGAATCGCCTTCTACAAATTCAAATAAACAATAAGCAGATTTTCAAAATCACTGGCAAATAAACTTACCTCCACCAAGGTACAGTAAAACGGGCAACAAAGAACATGCAACTTGTTTTTCAACATTGCTGCAAAATGGAGTTGAACAACGATGTTGCGCGTTTAACCATCCACATTAAACCTGTCTCGCAACAAATCAGGTTGTTAACAGGTTTCTTCTCGGATAAGGACGATAAACCGTAGGCCTCGTCTCACAAGCCCTTGCACATGTAATAAATCTGTGGGACGTTAAAGAACCCACACACTCTTCGTAAAGAGTAGGGCACGTAGTGCCTGGTGTAGTGGTCTATCTCACTTTCACACTCATGTATGGGGGCATCATTACTCATTCCTTCGTAACATGTAAACTGCACCTGAAGCAGTCTGGCAAAGTCCCCCAACCAGTGTTGTAAGTTATACCTGAAAGGCCCTGAGGGGAGTGGATAATAAGATATTTACAATTTACAGTTTGAACATGCGTGGTAAAACGCGCAACATCGCTTTTCAACTCGTTTTTCAGGAAAGTTGCAAAACAAGTTGAACGTTTTTGTTGCCCGTCAGTTTTATTAAGAGCGCCTAGTAAAAGTCAGAACTGGCTGATTGGACCTTTATTTTGCCAACGAAATGGGCATTTTAGAGAGTTGAAGTTCTTTTACTGCTTTGCGTCTGATTTACGAAGAGTTTGATCTGGCTGATCTATCTTAATAGTGGAATTCTTTCTGAGAACTTGGGAACTGGTCTGGCCGGGCCAACTATGGCAGGCCCCTTAAGACTTTTATTCCATGGGTGCCAAAGGTATCAGTTTTAACATATTCCCTGACTTTTTCGTAATACATTTGGATCATTATACGCACGTTATACGTTTCCGGGGAAACTGCCCACCTACCCCTCCCCTGAGCCAAAATGTTGCCCTAAACTAAGTGAGAAGTAAGTGTTAATGTTGGCATAGGGGAGGGGTAGGTGGGCAGTTTCCCAGCAACGTATAATACGTTAATTTAAAGTAAAATTTTCCCCACCAAATATACACAAAATGTAAAATACAGCAGCAACTTCTAGCTTCTTATTACACCGTTTTTTTTCCATTTGTTTGAATATAAAGTATCCGTATAATAGTCCGTAGTTGCTTGAAAACTGACACTTTTTTCCGCCTTCCAAAACTCCGCGTCCACACCTTGCGTTCTTTTTTTTTTATCATTTTCGCTCGTCCACACGAAAACGCAATAGTGAATGAAAAACGGTTCGGTACAATCTTTGATCGGAGCATGCACATTTACTGGTCTCCAACAGCGTGACGTAGATGTAATCGTTTTCACAAAACCTTTGTTTTCACCCATCCACATGAGTACAGCAAAACGGCGTTTTCAAAACTTTTCTCTCTCTAAAAGATACGCTTTCGGTGACCGTTTTCAATGGATACGTGTGGACGGAAGGCCAAACCGGAGAAAAAAATCTCCGTTTTTGAGCAAAACGAATACGTGTAGACTGTCTGTACCGTTTTTATACAAGACGACTTTATCCCCTCTGGCAAAAAACGGTCATTTCTGAAGGAAGGTGAGTGACGTTCGGACAGCCTGTGTGGTAGTTATTATCCGAGACAATTAGATAAATACTACACTCAATCCTGTACCAAGCGGTCATTTGCCAAGTCCCGACACCTGAATTATTTCCCTTGATTACAGTAAAAATGATTTGTATTAAGCGGTCGCGGTCACCTTTTCCGAGGTCTCAAAGAGTTATTTTTTATGTCTTGACTTGCACAGTGTATGGAGTTTAATTTTCTTTTTCTTCACTACGTTTCACAAACATAGGCAGAAATACTTTGAAGTCAATTTGTCATGAGATAGATATTTCGCTCTTTCACCATTTTCATTTTCTTGGATAACTCTTAGTTTTATCAAACCTGTATTAAACGGTTAAACTGCAATACGCGGGCAATAAGCCACGACTACCCAACGGTGAACGCTTAATATTAATTACAGGTACACAACTCCATATAGATCAAGTTTTTTTGTGCAACATACCCCAAGTAGGTGTGTCCAGATGCTTGAAATGGGTCTTAACTGTTACCGAGTCAGTCTCAATTCCAAGAGTCATATAACCATTCTGATTGGCGGAGAGTATCTACCAATAAAAAACAGTTTAAAAACAATTGAGCAAATTCTATTTGGAGGGTAGGGTTATTGCTGTACATGTAAGGAAAATAGTAGGATAAATTAATATATAGATTTAGCCAAGGCTAAAAGCGAAGCTCCCAATAATATTTATAGTTTGCTCAAACAAAATATAAAATCGTGTAATGCTAAGCGGCGAAGGCAACGAGAACGGTGAAAAAACAAACATAGGTCTAATTAGCAAAAAAGCAACTTTGTACGTGCAGCACACTTTCTTTGTACATTTCTTTGCCCATGTTTTGCACGACTACAACGTGAAACTTCCAGAAGCTTCCTGGTTACACGTTTTATGGAGGAAATGTCGTACGTGCTCTTGTTCACTTTTTTTTCCACTGTCGCTCATTTTCACCCAGGTGGCCGCTAGCATTTCTCATTTTGTCACCGCCGCTACAAAATTTCATGTTGTTCCTCCAACGAAAATGTCTCCTTTGTTTTTTCTGTCTCGCTCTAGCTCTTTTTCTCGTTGAGCTTCGCTAACCTGTCGCCTTACTTTCTCTTTTTCTCTGTCCTTCTCTTTCTCTATTTTCCAAATTTGTGGACATGACAATTAATCTAAACTTAATAATTTAGACAACAGGATACAGAAACAACTTCCGCTTTCCATTTTCGTCTTCATTGACTCTTTAGTTGTTGCTTCACAAGACGCGAGCGGCCATGCGCTTTCCCGCCAAAATAACCTGACATTTGGCATCGGCTTACATGAGGTGGGTGTACGGACGGTCAACGTTCGTAAGCTACGTCATAACCAAATTTTCTTGCTTTCATAGGATACCAAGTTATCTTAGCAATGGGGCTCCGCCACGCGCGCTTCGCGCGCGAAAGCTCAGCTATAAATTAAGAGTAGTTATAAATTGATACAACTCAGTAAGAAATACAAACACTGACCAGAAAATTGCTGAGGTTCTTCATTCTCTCAGTTACATTTTTTACCACTTTCATGGATGGCATGTAGATGCTTACCTGAATAACAACAAACACTGATTAAGCATATCAGTGAAAACAAGAAAGAATAAATGAAACCTCTTTGGTTGCACTGTTGCGAAGCTCTGTTTATTGCTTAGCATTTAACAGAGAAAAATTTTATTGTCCAGTGTACACTTTTTCTTTGACCACACACTGTGCATGAAGGAAGAAACAAAGGGATAAAAATGGCAGGTAATCAAGCCCTCTGTAGGGAGGGTAGCCTGTGTTGCGGGGCTCGAGAGGGGAGGGGGGTCAACGGAGGGGGGAGGGAGGAAAGGAAAGTACCTTTACCCATTCACGGTTTTCTTTCACTCCCCATCCTCCCCATCCCCGTTTTTGCACCTGCCATGCAGGCTAAGGGAAGGGAAATGGTGAAACCTAGAAACACTATTTCTTGTGTGAGAGCCTAAAATAATCATGGAGTTGTCTTGGAGCCAACTCAAAAATGCAATACTAAATACTCACATCAAAATCAGGCATGGCTGGTTCTTCATATTCTTCCCAGTTCCGCTGAGGAATAACACCAACTGGTACATCATGTACCACACTTCTTGTGTGACTGGTAAGGGATGGCTGAAAAATAACAATCCAGTCAGAAACATGAGGGTAGTTAAAATATCTACTGTCAAATGATGGAGTGCTTTCGACTTGGCTAGATTCTCCTAGAAGACTAAATTTTTCTTCCCAGTGAAACAAAAAGAGAACTTCAAATATGATCAACAGTCTTTAAGGACCTTACTCTTTTCGTAGTCCCCTGCTTTCCAACGATTTAAATTACACTAGTCTTTTCAGACCACTTTCATTTTGTATTTGCTCAAATTCATGGTTGTCAGTAAGTAATCTACCTGCATTTTATTGACAGCCTTATTGGCATCCACTTACTGTATGCACAAGTACACTGAATGTATAGCTGTCAAATTGCAACGTTTTATAACAGCTCACATTCACGTTAGAAAGCCAATTTTCAGATGACTGTCTAAAATTATTTTCATAAATGTTGTAATCATGCAGCTATAATGTTTCTTTGCTTGATTGCAGGGTCTGCAGTCCTGTGACTTTTTCAACAGATACACATAACATAATTGAAACCACAATGACATAACAAGTTGTTACGAGTTTACAAACTAAAAATTGGTAGGTCCATGATTTACTTTACAGTCTTTCAGTCTCTGATAATTTTTAAGGTCATATATCCCACTTTACCTTTGGCAAATGTGACAGGGCTAAAAAAACCTTCAATTCCAGCTTGTCCTTTGGGCAATCAGCTAGATCACATTTTGCTTGGTTGGGGCCACTTCTGGCATGTCTTAGTCAATGATTTTGTTAGAGGATGACATGCCCAGACCCTTGCGCACTGAACAAGTTAAAAAGTTACTTGAGATAGGTCACCTGTTCAGCAAACCTGCAATGGTCTTATTGCACAGAACCCACTCATTATGTATACATGTAGGATACAGGTAAAAATTACATTCCAGGTCAAAATCTTTTATCCTAGGTTGATTCTCAATTTCCTTTATCTCCTAACCCTGATTATTCAGGAATTAGGGCTAGGAGAAAAAGGAAAATGAGAATCAACCTAGGTTAAAAAATTCTAACCTGAATTTAGTTTTGACCTGTAATGTATACATCAGTCACAATGAAAATGAGTTCTTTGTCTTGGAATCTAACATTTGAGTTTGTAACAAAATTTGTTGTTGGAACGATGGTCATACACTACAAGTTGTCAATGTATCATGGAGCTTACCAAAGTAATCTCAAATGTCAGGCATGGGGTATGTTTCTTTGCCAGCTTTATTTTCACTGCTTGTGCACTGGCAGCTGATTTCATCGCTCTTGTGAGATTTTCTGGCATCAACTCAAGATATATGTTGTTGGTTTCATCTTTCCCTTCAATGCGGTACTCATCAAAGAAATTACTCTGAAATAAAAAACAAATGAAGAACAGTCTTGAAAATCATTTACATATTAAGCACATTGTCAAACACAACAGGGAACCATGCTGCTGAGCAGAAACAGTCTGAACTTTATTAACTGAGTGACAGTGCATTTTGCATTCTGTTCCCCAATACAATTGTACATTAATATGTACGTTAATATGCAAAAGAACTACCAAAAATGCATGTTTCATTTACATACAAACTATGCAGACTGGGTAGCTCAATTTGTTGAGAACAAGACTTCAAAGCGGTACTGGTGTAGATCTGCATTTCAACCTGGCAAGCCCAACTTTTAGGTACTTAACCTCTCTCCTCTGCAAAGGCTTCCACTGGATATACCAATAGAAAAATAGCCTCCCTACGACAAAAGGAGGCCTCTGCAGAGCTTAACCCTTGAAGTCCTTAGGGTGACCAGCATTAACTTTGTCGACCTTAACAATATGAATACATTATCAAGAGGAAAAGTTCAAAAATGCTCTGATCTTTTATCACATTCCAGGGTTGTCAAAGTAGCCGGCTGCCAGCGAAAATCGCCGCCTACTTGCTTAGTATTGGCCGGCTACTCTGTGTGGCATTTTTTTACAGATGGCATTTATTAAATAAAATATCCCTCAACTGGTTGCTTAAACAACTCAGTCGTCTACTTCAAAACTTTCTGACAACCCTGCACATTCTCTCCACTAGTTCCTCAAGGTACTGTGTGGAGATCAGTCTTAAGATTTTAAATGTGGATAAGTCAACTGAGGATTAAAGGGGTAAAATACTGAGTAGAATGCAGAAATTATTGTGGGTAGTGTGGGTGGAAGGGTTCAACATCAATATGAATGGGATGCAAGTCCTTTAAATCCCTGTCAATATCAACAGGATCTAAATGTAGTCCACACATTTGACAGAAAACTAAAATTCTACTTGTGGTACCTATGCTTCCCATAGGACGCAAAGATTGATCCTGTTTGTGTGATTTCTGTGGTTGTTCTTGTGGCCGTTGCTAAACAATGCTTACAGTCTGTATTTCTTTTGGTCTTTGTTGAGCTTTACAATAGAAAGAGTATATTTTTACTTTTAAGTAGTAAACTGCAATACCGAGTTATAGGAGTCTGTCTTCAGATTAACTACATGTGGTTACAAAAGGCCGGGGACTCAATGTTTTTTGAACTGGGACTCAATGTTTCTGGACTGGGACTCATGATTTTTCACAAGATGAGTCCCACGACTCACTATGACTATCTGTAACAAAATGAGTGGAAAGGTGTACAAAAAGGGGTACCTTTTCTCGCAAATATGGTATATAAGTATAAGCCTAAGGGTAGGGGGTTGGACCTCCCAATTTCACAAAGTTTAGCAAGCAAAGTTGGACGGGATCAGATAAATCCTTGTAACTCACAAAATGACATACAGAGTTTATCAATAGCTATTAACCTGTGTTAATTCACACCAGATTGACACTCCTCCAACAGCAGCGTTATCAGTCAGAATAAAGTACAGCTTTGTTGGTGTCAGTCGTAGGGCACACATCTTTGCCATGCGGGATATGGTTCCTAGCACCCCTGTAGCACCAAAAATAAATACTTGTGATACGATAATGTTAATAGACCTTGTTCAATGCATACAGCAAAATAATAATCCTCTGATTTCAATGACAAGGTCAGCATTCATCCATCTTTGAACAAATGTAAAGTTTCCACTTTCACATTATTCTTTTATCACCAGAGCTTAAGACCACGCTCTCATATTGCTAGTATAGTGACCTCATACATAAACTTCTTCAGTCTGTCTTCAACAGTCAAGTCATTAAACATTTAAGGTAAAAAAATGTACCTAGTTGATTGCACAATGCTAACTGATACCTCTGAATCCGCGAGCAGGCAAGATGAAGTAAATCCTTTAATCTGATTGGCTACCCAAGGCCCATCTTGCCCGCTCAAGATTTCCTGCATTGGTCTTGCAAAACAAAGTTATCTTTTTGGCCATCTAACAGATCCTTTATTTGACCAAGTTTGTTCAGTCAATTTGACTGGATATTAACCTTGATATTTTTTGCCCTTTTATCGACCTCGACTTCAACCTGGTCCGTAAAAGCACAAAAAAGGACTTGACCGATATCCAGCCATCTTGACCTCCTGCTTGTTCAATAACGCAGATGAACATATGTTCTAGCAATCTACATTTTTGGGAGTAATTTTACTAAGTTCTGAGTTCTTTGCCTTTGTGTAGATAAAGAATACTATGCATGTGTGATCACAAAGTTTGAAAGAGCACTTTTTCACTCTCCAGATGATAACTATAAAAATACATGGTGTGAAATGAGATGAAAACAAAACAAAACAAATAAAGGTTGCATTTTACAATGCAGGGTAAATCCTACAAGAGACATGTGATTTTTGTCTTAACAATATATCAATACGTATTCAAGAGGATAATGTAAAAAAGAATGCAATATTGTTTAAATTATTCTGGTACAAGGTTTTTGTCGACTGAAAATTGAAGTTACTCAATTTTCTGATGGATTCCTTCTTAAGTCCTCCAATTCAAGGCAGGTAGAAACTCCTCAAGCACCAAATTTACATACTTACCAGAAATTATTACACAAAAAGGCATTGTTTTCCCTTGATCTAGTTGGAGTTTTCTACCTGCTCCCTACCCCCACCCTAGATTCCCTTTACAAAATCCACTTCATCAGGCCTCAATCACCCTGCCTAGCTTATAAAAAGCAGTATAGAAGGCTAAATAATGTGTACTAGACCAAAGTAGGGAAAACCAAATATTACATTATTTTTGCATATTTTTGATGTACAGTGAATGATGTTTAATTTCAAACATATTTTTAAATAATCTTTTCCATTTAAAGTTTCACAGTGACTTTTCTTTTTCTTTCAGCTCTGCGCAAAAACTAATAGTTTCAAAAAATTCTCGTCAAGACTGAAGCTTTGAGATAAAAAGCTTCAGAACAACAGTCCATACAAAGTTCAAAATTGAAGTCTTCAAATGGTTACATGTGTTGCATGAATACAAACAATTGCTGCTGACAGAAATAATTTTAAAGCAACATTCCAAGTAGCATTTTGAGGTCCTATTAGACCAAATTTCGAATACGATCATGTGGCATTTTGAGAAGTAAGATATCTAACTGATGGTGTTTTACCCATCTTTATGTCATTTGCCGCCATTTAATCTGGTTTTATGTTGCTGTTTCAAGGCCTTGTCACTTGTTGGAATTTTATCCAAACAGGGCCTCCAAGATTGTATAGTTTTAGGACAAGTCCAATACAGTAGTTGTAACTTTCAAGGTTTTTTTTACCAGCTTTCCTGGACACAGACCTGCCCAGAGGGAATGGGCATGAACGAGACTCAAAGATCCCATGCAAGGTGCCATCCCTTCCCAATCCCGCAACGCGTGAAGGTTGGCCACACCACCAAGGTCAACCTCCCCTACTCTTTTCGAACAGTAATGTGGGTTCTTTTACGTCCCACAAGAACAGAACAGTGAAAGTGCTGTGAGATGGGACCTATGGTTTTTCATCCTTATCTGAGAAGACTAGAACGTCTAACCATTTGAAGTTGTCATTACAAAGGCAACACTTTCTTCTCGGTTATTTAAGGACCCTGAGTGTTTGTCCAGCTAGGGTTTGAACCCGTGACCTCCCACTCAGAAGACCGGCACTCTCCCAACTGAGCTAACCAGGTGATGATTTTAAAAGGTTTAAAGGTTGGCCCTTTTTGGATGGACTATTCTAAAGCCATTGTTTAGACAACAGATTGGTTATGGAAGTTACCCTATTCAAGCTTTCTTTTCGCAGCTGCATAAGTTGCATAATTAACTGTGATGATCTTCTCTGCATTAATTTAAGTAATTTCTGAATAAGGTATAAAGTCGATAACTTTTACAATGCGCAAAAGTCTATCTTGATTACACAAGTGGCAAACTCAGCTAATTTCCTCGAATTCTTCCTCACTTGGCAAGTTGTGCGTAGATGGTACGCAATTAATGATACCACGTCTTACAAGTGTCACAGGAAATCCATCAAACAATTTGAGCAATAAATTGTGTTGACACTGTTGACATGTTCACGTAAGTGCATGTCAATATTCCTTCTGGAATGCAGTGACTTTTTGGACAGCAAAGTGTCAAGTGGATGTTAAGAAGGGGTGGGTGGGATGGGGGTTAAGCGGGGAAAAGGTGAATAATTATGTCGATGACCCCCTAACTAGAGCGACAATCTTCCCTGCTTTCATTTCTTCATCCGGTCCCACAGTTCAAATAATATCTGACATTCGGAAATCTCATGCATTTTGATGCATTATTAGCAGAAAAAACATTCCTTATTAATGCTATACTTTACGTTTTTATGGGGATTTGCGAGAGTAGAAAATCTAAGTCTTACGCAGTTAGCTTACTGATTTGTACTCCCGAAGTTACTTTTACCCGGATAAACATTAAAGAAAAAGTCAAACTACTTACGCGTGAAATGTTGGATGCAATTGATGTCCACAATCTTCGCTCGAAACCGCATGCTGGCAGGTTTATCAGAAGGTTTATGGAGCAAAAGTCACAAATCACTCAAAACTACCGCCATTTTGTAAATACCCACAATACATCAGGTACGTCAAGGTCGACCCAATTTTGGTCGAGGCACAGGCAGACCACCCTCTGTTTGTTGATTGAAATCTGAGCAACGATCTTTTGTTATTTATAGAAGAAATACATGTGAACAATACCGTGGCTATAATTTGTTCCAAAATGCAGAATTTAAAGCAAATTTTTCAATAAAAGTTTGAAGAAAATGTTAACTGAGTCATGTGTCAAAGAAGCCAAGAAAATGAAATGTTTTAAAAGACTAATTTTTAAACAATTTGTCCAAGTCACAGGTCTTCGTGACCCAAAGTTTCGGGTGTCTAGAAAACGACGACCTGGAAAACGAAGACCTACGACCTAGAAAACGACGACCTAGAAAACAACGACCTAGAAAACGACGACCTAGAAAACAACGACCTAGAAAACGATGACCCAGAAAACGACGACCTAGAAAACAACGACCTAGAAAACGACGACCTAGAAACGACGACCTAAAAAAAACCGCGGGGAGTGGGGGGCGCTTAATAGAAGTGTGCGAAATGCCCCATCCCCGGACAAAACCAAAATAGCATATTCATAGCAAATCTCAGAGTAATCTTATCAAACGTGCCAAACACCCACGCAAATCGCTCATAGCCGCTAGTTACCCGGGGCTGTGTAACCAAATGTTGTATATGTAATCAGTTCTCTGTAGCTTTTATTCTTCACTCCATTAAAGCATATTTCTTCACATGTTCATATTTTAGAATTCTGTACTCTGTTCTACACTTAAAGGATTCATCGACATCAATGCGCGCAAAACTTGATGATCTAAACTCAATCCACACACTTGTTCAGCTCAACATCTCCGAACGACTGCACAGTTCTAACAAAAAGCTCAGTTTTCAGATCACGTGACGGGTTTTCCCGCCACAATGACGCAATAATTTCTAACACACTCCCCGCTTTGATTGACACGGGTCAATCAACAACGAAACGAATAAAATAACAAATTAAAGGAAAAGAGTTCGCTGTTCTTTGACTTAATGTTAATGTTCACTGACATGTTCCTGTTCGGCACTTCCCACGAAGGTAATAGGGAAATCAGTGTTTCTGTTCTGACGCTCTTCCCGCACTTGTGATTCGACTTCTACAGGGTAAAGCCTATTTAGGGGTCTTGTCATTTCCACGACTCGATCTCCACTACGCACTCTTACAACAGCTCCTCTGTGGTAACCATCTCGTCCTGTAATGAGAGATTTGACGACTCCCATACTCCAAAGTTGTCTCGGCGCTTTGTCCTTGTAGACGCAAACAACATCTCCGACCTTAATCGTTGGCTTCCTGTTACCCGAATTGCAGTTGTGATGAACACGTAATTCTGTTAAGTATTCCTTCTGCCAACGTTTCCAAAAATGTGAAAGTACAGCATTCAAGTACTTCTCACGTCTTGAAAGATCTCGCACAGTGTGATCTCCCCCACTAGGTTGTTTAGCGCTTCCGTTTGAACTCAACAAGCGACGACCAATAACCAGTTGCGACGGTGTAAGAGGATCTCGCACTTCATCACTCACATAAGTTAGAGGTCTTGAATTCAGGATTCCTTCGGTCTCGACAATGATTGTAAGCAGTTCTTCATAAGTGACTCGAGCTGTTCCTAAACTCTTTTTCAGACAGCGCTTTGTTGATTTAACGAGACGTTCAAAGAATCCACCCCACCAGGGTGCTAATGCCACATTATATTTCCAGGATATGCTATACTCTGCTAACAACCTTTTGAGCTCTTCACTCTTGAAAGCGGAACCATTGTCCGATACAACAAGCCTTGGTACACCTCGTCGAGCAGTGAACCGTTTGAAGCTTCTCACAAACGCTTGAGTTGACATATTCGGAACAAGGTCTAGATGAACCGCGCGACTAGATGCACACGTATATAACACAATGTATGCCTTGTTCATAACACTACTCTTGTTGTACACATCCTTGACAAAAATGGGACCCGCAAAGTCTACTCCTATACTTGAAAATGCGAAGTCGTCAGACAATCTGAATTCAGGTAGTTGAGGGGTAGGAGGCACTCCATAGGGGCGACCTTCAAGTTTCTTGCATACTACACACTTGCTTAATATCTTCTTAACTGTCTGTCTCCCTTTAACGACCCAGTATTTTGAACGCAGTTGAACCAGTGTCTCTGCTACTCCATTGTACATGACTTGTTCATGGCACTTGAGGATCACCAATCTCGTAAAGCAATGTTCTCTAGGCAGAAGCACAGGAAATTTGGTATCATATGGTAACGACGACAGACTTATTCTTCCTTGACATCTGACTACACCTTCACTGTCCTGATAAAGTCCCAGAGTCGACTTCATTTGCTGGTACTTTTCACTGTTCAGGATACCCTTTTGAACGTGTTTAATCCACTTCTTCTCAGCTTGCTTGTAAACTTGCAAGGATTCTTCTTGGTCAGTTGATCCGTCCCTTCTTCTTTTCAATTTTTTGACAAATAGCAACACAAGTGAAGTAACTCTTATGAGCTTCGTGAAGGAACTGTAGGATTCAGGATTGATGATACTCTCCAGATTTGCTTCTTGTTTTTCGGTACACGTGTTCAATAAGCTGGAGACTGTAGGTTTGGCTGATTTCAGTTCGCACAACTCTTCCTTGGCTTGTACATTTACAGGCTGGACTGGCCAGTAGGCGCTTTCCTTAGACAGGAATTCTGGACCATGTAACCACAAACTACTTTCTTTGAGTGCAGTGGCCTTAATTCCTCTTGATGCAATGTCAGCCGGGTTTTCTGACGTAGGACAGTACCTCCATTGCTCAGGCGGTGCATTTCGTCTGATTTCGCTCACGCGATTCTCCACAAATTGCTTGTATTCCTTATCAGTGTTCCTAATCCACCACAAGGAAATCATAGAATCCGTCCAATTGACTACGTCATCAACTCTCACAACGTTTTCTAAAGCTTGACTCACACTCTTCACCAATCTTGACGCAGTAAGGTTAGACAACAGTTCTAGACGCGGTATGGTTTGCTTATCCAACGGAGCTACTCGGGTTTTTGACGCCACAATCTCACATTGTACTCTTGACTCATATTCTACTCTCATGTAAACAACGGCTCCGTACGTCTTTTCCGACGCATCTGCAAAACAATGAAGTTGGAGCGATTTAACTTCATTCCCACCGAGACCTTCAGCATAACACCTTTTAAAACTCACTCTTCCAGCTAGTCTTCGGTCTGACAAAGTTGACAACCACTCTTGGTTGAGTTCGGTATCCACTAACTCGTCCCAGTCCCTTTGTGCCTTGCACAGTTTTTGAAACATAATCTTGAAGGGTAGAATAACTGGAGATATTAACCCCAAGGGATCAAAGAATCTCGTAGCAGTACTGAGAATCAGTCTCCTTGTAGCTGGCTGAACGTCCACACCCTCCAATATCTTAGTCAAGTCATAGATCAGTTCATCTTGGTTAGGGTTCCAAAGCATTCCCAAGACCTTCTGCTCTTTCTCAGTACCGTGCTTAAAAACTGACTTTGAGAAGCTCTCATCTTCCTCTTGAACGCATTCTTTACTGTTTATAGCAAAGTCTCCACTGAAGGCTGAATCTTGTTTCAGTGATTGCAAAAGACTTGCTGAGTTGCTGTTCCACTTCCTCATATTGAACCCTCCTGATTTGAGACAGAGTTTTATCTCCTTCGACAAAGAAAAGGCATTGTTCACATCCTTGGCCCCAGAAATGAAGTCATCTACATACAAAGACTTCAAAAGCTCAAGTGCAAGTGCATTGTCATTCAGCATACATGTATTAACATGGTGTCTGATAGTAGCATTGAGAATGAAGGGGCTAGCATTCACTCCAAATACAACTCTTGTAAAGCGAAGTAACTTTATCTCAGGTGATTCTTTATCGACATCATCTACCCATAGAAATCGTAAAAAGTCTCTGTGTTCTGGATCAATCTCAATATTCAAAAATGCTTTCTCAACATCAGCAGTTACAGCAACTTCATGAACTCTAAATCTCAGCAAAATGTCCAGTAGAAGAGGATTTAATGAAGGTCCGACATGCAGACAGTCATTTAAGCTTGGTCCAAACACCTTGGATGAGGCATCGTATACAACTCTAACTTTTGTTGTATCTCTGTCAAGTCTCACAACTCCCCTGTGTGGGAGATAGTGCACATTTCCAGGTTCTAGGACTTGATCTTGCCGCACTTCTTCAACTACTCCACTTTCTAATTGCTCCTTAATCACTTGATCATATTGTTCCAGTATTTCTGGTTGGGTCTTAAGCTTCTTAATCACAGTTGCCAACCTTCGTGATGCATTTGTATAATTATCTGACAGCATAGGATGATTATTCTTGAATGGTAGCTTGACTTGGTGTCTTTCACCAGTGAATCTTATCTCATTTGAAAACTTGTCATGAACTGAAGTTTCAGTGTCCCTTATGCCTAAGGTTTCCAAGTCCCAAAATTTCTGCAAATCATCTTGCACATGGCTGATGTCAGCTGACTCAATTTTCAAAACATGTGTAGCACTTAGGTTAACTGTGCATGACTCTGTCAATACTGGAACTGCAGCTGGTCCTGACAGTACCCATCCCAACTTGGTCTCAAGAGCTACAGGTCCAGAAGGATCTCCCCTGATTATTCCTCCAGTAAAGAAAGACCAGTAGTGATCTGCTCCTATTAGTAAGTCAACACTAACTGTTCCATTAACAGCTCCACATGCAAGCTGTAGCCCTTGAAGGTATGGATAGCATTCTACTGCACTTTGAATTTCTTGGTTCGATACTGGACTGCATATTACTGGTACAACGTAAGCAGTGACGTACACACTCATTCCATCTATTGTTCTGATGCACAATTGCACAATGTCACATTCCTTTACAGATGCTGAATTGTCACCAAATGTTTTGATTAGCAAGGTTTCCTTACCAACAGTAGGTAATTTTAACTGCTCACGTGTCTTGCAGATTATATAAGATCTCTGGCTACAAGAGTCAAAAATGACTTGAGTATACATTCCAGTTTCTTGATTATCTGGTCTAGAAACAAAGGCTTGGGCAGTCTGCAACAGTATAGAGTTATTATTGCTGCCAACATGCATTGTTGATGTTCCAACATCTCTGGATCTCTCCCGGGAAGTTTCAGATCTACTAAGTGATGCTAATTCAGCTCCTGAACTACTAGGTTGGACAGGCTTCTTAGGGTTTTCACAGATAGTCACATGATGTCTAGCTCAACAATTAAAACATTTGGCCTTTGACTGACAACCCGGTGCAATATGCCCCGCTTTCAAGCAAACAAAACACCTGCCACTTCGTCTCAGTATAGTTCTTCTAGCCTTTGGTTCAGTAATGGTACTACAGGTGATGGACTTGTGATTTTTCTTGCAAAAGACACATTGCAGAGTACACTCTTCACTGCCCGCATAAAGTGCAGATGAGGAAAGGGGCTGTTTGAATCTTCCCTTATGCTGGTCAAATCTAGGGTTAGAATTGGTTGGACTACTTGTTTTCACTACATTACACCTTTCTCTTGCCTCCAACTCAGATTTCAGTGCATTTAACAGGACATCAAGGTCCCAAGTTTCTTTACTGCCAAACTTGCGACTGATGATTAATCTCAACTCAGAAGGAATTTTCTCCATTACAACTGGAACTAATAAATTTCCAAAGGACTCTGATTCGACACCTAGTACCTTCAAACTTCGAATGTTTATCTCAATCTTGTCATACAAATCACGAAGTTTCTTCGTTTCATGCACTGAACTGACTACTGGCAATTTCAACAAAGCGTCCATGTGGTTAGAAATCAACAGCTGTGATTTACCAAATCTATCTCTAAGTATATCAATGGCAGTTTCGTAATTACCTTCAGTGAGAGGCAACCCAGTAATGGCAGATTCGGCTGCGCCTGTGACACAACTCTTCAAATAGGTGAATTTTTGGATTCTTGAAATGTCAGTGTTTCTGTTAACCGCAGATTCGAAAGTGTCCCAGAAACTCTGCCATTCCTCGTAGTTGCCTGAAAATGACTTTAGTTCTAGTTTAGGTAGCTTCACTTTCGTGCTTTTGACATTGTTATTAATTTGACTGAAGCTTGGTGAAGTTCCCACGCGTGCGCTATTTTTAGCATCCTCTAAACTCAAGTCAATTCTAGCCAAAATACGGTAAACTTTTGCACAAAACTCACCACAATCCCCGACTTCTTTCTCAATGTCTCTCCCCTTACTGTTTTCCAAAATTGTTTCGTACAGCTTTTGGATAGTTTCTAGTCTTTCATTGAGGGTGAATTTCAGTCCCATAAGTTTTTCCCTTGATGAATCTTCCACGTGATCGGCAGTTTGCTCGACCAAAATCCTCGTCGCACCTTCCATCGTTTTCTCCACAAAAGCTCTGTGGGCGTTTCTAATTCTCTTTGCTTTTTCGTTGTCCATTCTTTTCTTCTTGTACTGTAATCCTGATCTTGACGATTAATTGATTAAACTTGTTTCGCCGATCCGGCGATTGCGAAGGCCATGTAACCAAATGTTGTATATATAAGCAGTTCTCTGTAGCTTTTATTCTTCACTCCATTAAAGCATATTTCTTCACATGTTCATATTTTAGAATTCTGTACTCTGTTCTACACTTAAAGGATTCATCGACATCAATGCGCGCAAAACTTGATGATCTAAACTCAATCCACACACTTGTTCAGCTCAACATCTCCGAACGACTACACAGTTCTAACAAAAAGCTCAGTTTTCAGATCACGTGACGGGTTTTCCCGCCACAATGACGCAATAATTTCTAACAGGCTGGTTGTAAGTAATGCTGAGGTCAAAAGGTCTAATTTGCACGTGCAGCACACTTTTTTGCACATCGTAGTACGTTCAGACGATTCTCTCAGAACCAAAATTTCTTGGATGCATTTTGGGCACTTTCCATTCACCCAAAACTTAAGAAACTTTGGAAACAGCGGCAATTGGTACAGTATTTTCCCGGAAAAGTTCCCAGACTTCCGGAAACGTTTCCGAAATGCGAACCATTGAACCAAAAATTTTAGACATTCGGGAGCAAATTTGAATGCGGAAAGAAAACTTCCCGATGATAATTTTCGAAAATTTGGGTATATATTGCGAAAATGCTGTTCCATACGGTACTGCATGGAAGTTGCCGAAAATTTAAACCAGACGTTTTGATTGAATGGAATGGCGCCCATGCAAAGGTAACCAAATTTGTTACCAATTGTGCTCCCTTTGCGCGAGCGCGTGAGAGCTCCACTAAAAGAGTTTCTCAAGTCAAATTTTCCTTTACAGTGGAACCTTTAACGAACCTCTATTTAACGAAGTCCTCGACATAACGAACGATATCCTATGTCCCAGCCAAAGTTATAGCAAAATGCATGGAATAGAACCTCGATATAACGAACCTCGATGTAACGAATTCTTTGATATAGCGAACATAATCCGGAAGCCCAAACGTAAAATCTACCTCGATATAACGAAAAAAAATTTTCCATCTGTTCGGATTTCCTAGCTGAAAGTCTAGTGATGCGAAAATTATAGGGATCAAAACTTACCTTTTCGAAAATTTCAGCCAGAAAAAAGGGTTCCGAAAATTCTAGGTGATCTTTTTAGGGTCCAAATCCGTTAAAAATGGGCAATTATACCATTTTTTAGATGTTCGAAAATCCTAGGAGAGGCAGGCAAGCAACAAAGTTTACAACAAATGTTCCGAAAATTCTAGATCTCAAATAGTCTTCCGAACAGATATTTTCCGAAAATTGTCGTTGGGTGCCCCTAGTGAATGAACAGAGGAAATAAAGAAGTTCGTCAATTTATTCCCGCCAGTGCGTGCGTAATAACGCCTGTAGGTGACTCAGGGCAGAGAATGCTTACCATTTCCATGGTTTTTAAGACATTTGATTGTTCTAAAGCTGAATGGCAACTTGGTTTTCTATGCAAATGATTCAGACAAATATACGAGGCTATGAGTCAGAGCAGCAATAAACAATTACTTTCGTTTTAGCCCTGGACTTCAACGATTTATACTTAATAATTTCTATTCAATACCCAAGACATTTCTACATGTGATTGTTCATTTCTATAGATACAGATACAGATTCCCTTAATTTAACTTTTAGTGAATGAACTCAACGCGAATTCTTCAACAAGTCGACAGCTATTTGTAGACGCAAATTGTTGACTTCATCCTGAGCAGGAGAGAAAAAACAAAAACAAATGTGACTTGGAATTACGCTAAGTGGAAAACTTGTATTGTTTTTAGGAGAAGTTGTCTTAAACTTAAAACCGCATGCAAATTTTAGATCTTCACAGGTTCTACAACAACTGGCTCCAATTCTTTATTTTTAGTAATAAGCGTAATAGGCTGAACAACACTTTTTACAAAACCTCCTGAACAAACCAGAAATTGTGTAGCAACAATAAATATCCAAATTTGATGTTTGTGCCTGAGATTTACCCCAAATGTACACTTAGTTGCGATTTAAAGAAGACTAAATAATAACAAGACAAGATGCTATTTTTTATGGCCGCTAAAGATTTGGAAAACCGTATTATAATGTAATACAAGTTTTAATGATATTTTACCTGTGAAATGAAGGGCTTCCTTTCCTCTACGACGAATTCAGCCACCTACAAGAAGAAACCAATCAAAACTGTGCTCGCTATTACTTTCTCGCTTAGAAACTGAGAAACAATTGGTGTTTGAGCCTACCTTTATGACATAAACTCCACAACTTTGCCAGTCACACTGTTGCGGCGTTGTTGGCGAGATGTTTTTCCAAGAGGGCACGTCCATATTATTTGCCGCCATTATTTTCCTGTGGAAGTTTAACACGCACACAAAAAAAGTCGTATGCATTCCTTCAAAAAAGTAGAAAATAATAAGAACAACACACTTCTGCGGTGGGGGGCTATTATAAACGCAGTTTATACCTCATGCAGTTGAAAAAAAGCTGGCCACTCGTCGTCGACTTTCCTTGTTTTTCCGACTTGCTGTCGTAGTGAAGAAGCTCTTTTTGTTTTACGTTAACAACCTTTATAGAAGTAAAATATAAAGAAACATTTGTGAAAAAATGTACTCTTTCCCGGGAAATATCAGAATTATTGTTTTGCTTTGTACTTTATAAAGAGTAGGCGCAGCGGGCGAGAAACTGTTGTTGATGTAGTTCCTTTTATTGATTCTTGTCAGGGGCCCATGGATTTATGGGCTCCTGTTCTCGTCCAAGAGAGGTTTCACCTTCACAAAATAGGGGCCAATTACATACTAGGTACTTGCATATTATTCAGTGGTACCGTCTGGTAAAGAGATCACAGAAGTCGTACCCCAAGCGTCCAATGACTGGCATGGCACATAGGTAGTAAAACCAAGTCTTGATTTGAAAAGTCAATCTGAAAAAGAGGGGTATAGTCAGTTATTTACTATATTTTGCGCAAGAAACTGTTAGCCCTATGCTTCATGAACTAATAGTGGTTAGAGTGCCAAAAGGCCAAACTATTAGTTTCTTCCTAGAAATCATTTTTCACTTTCAACCTACCTTTTTCATCCACTTCCATGACTTCAACTGAGAGAGCTCTTCTGATGTCCTTATTTTTTCTATTACGAAAGATTCGGCGGCAAAGACTTTTATACCCTGGTTAAAAGATGGTAAACATCCCTTTAACTTTTCTCAGATTTACTTTCAGTAAAACTAACAAGTGCAAAATGATGGAAAATATGGGCAGAAATCTTTAGTGGCAGAAGCTTAAGGAGGAAGCGGTACTCTCCGACGCGAAGCGCGAGCTAGAACTAACCTTTTTCTGTTATACCCTCTCCCTCTGTTCCCTAAAGCAGGTGCCAGGCATAGTACAGTATTTCTCTTGACTTACCATCTTCCTACTAGAAACCTCCAACAGCTTTAGGCTTGCATTTACTATCTAGTTTTGTCAAGAAGATAGAAACAGATTTTTTTTAAATTTGAGTAAAATAAAGCATATAGTGAGTCAATTCCGAACCAAATTTTGCCCTCTAACGTAACCAAAAATAGTTAATAATTACCCACCAAAACATTTCTCTTTTTCGTATACCCTCAATGAAGAGAAAATACTTAAAAACCGTACCTTGTCGTTAAGCCAACCAACTTCCCTAAAGCGGAGAGAAAACTTTTTCATCATCTCGATCTCTTCTGCACTCATCGATGGTTGGATTGTTTTGAAGTCGCCAACAAGGATTTCGTCTACGCCAACTCGGCACACCACTTCAGAAAGGTCGGAGTGCGCGTTTATATTCCAGTAGGATTCTACCTGGTAACCATTTCAAAATAAAATAATTTAAAGTAAAATGTCTTTGTAAGTCTCACCATACTTTTTCTCTGCTTTGTATGCCTTGGCCTAATGTACCAAACAGCTTGAGAAAATAAATAAATAAAGTGATTAGCTAAGAAAATAGGATGGATCACTACCTTCTTTTTCAAACGAAGTGTCTTCCTAAACTCCTCATGCTTTTTCCTTATCTCTTTTTCGCGAAGAACCTCGTAGCGACCGATCCCTTTCCATTCCACATCCACGTTACGCATAAAAACGATGTCTTTTTCCGTTTCCTCGTCTCTTTTTTTTAGTTGAAAGTAACCATCCGCCTTTTTCTCTAAAAATTGTATCCTGATGGCCCGTTTATCTTCTTTCACCACCCGGCCAATGTACCGCAGGTCTCTGCCATAACTAACAGCTACCCACTCCTCTGGTGTCTGTTACGTAGTCCATGAACAGATCGAAAAAAGGAAAGAAATATTTATCTAATCGGTTGTTGTTTAACACCAGATCTCTCTCAACAGTATTTACTTTGCACACACGAGTAACAGCCTCCCTAATATATTATATAATTAGCCAGTCAACATACAATGGTGGAAGGAAGGAATTTGTGCAGATTAACCTTTTTAATTTCCACTTTTTTCCCTTTTGTGCTGGCGTTAAGCTCGGATCTCTTTTGCTGTCACTAGTCCTGTAAAGTTCCCACACGCCTTTTGTTACAAGCTTTAATTTTTGTCTCCCGATGAAATGCTTCGAGTGCCTTTATTCGCCTCAAATACACGGAAAAACGATCATTGAAGATGTACAAGAATCCCGTAATCTCTTCACACTATGCAAGCAATTAGTTGTAAGTAATTTGACTAGAGTCACCTTTAGTTCCGCTCGTTTTTCTTCTTCTCCTGACAAAAATGCCGGTTCCTTTTTTTCCTTATCCTGCAAAGTTTATATAGGAATGTATTTTTAATAAAACTGTTATTTTTCTACTGTCTTTAACATATTCTCCCCAGATACTGAGTGTCAACGATGAAACGATTTCTATAATTCGAGTATACAAAAAAGAAAATGGTGCGATCTCGTCACACCAAGCAATAGGATTGGAACGTTGGCCAATGCATCCTTTTTAAGACAAAGATCCGTGTTAGTGGTCTGTACAATTACAGAAGCAAGGGAGCGGTTTACTTACGCTAATAATCTCCACCTTCACATGACAGACTAGTTTTTCACAAGACACATTTTTTACGGCTCTTGATGGCTGTATATGTTCGTGCTTAAAAATACCACACTGAAAAATGCCGTACCATCGACATAGTCTGCCCGGCCGAAGGTTCATCTGCTTCTGTTCCTCTCTTCGCGTCTCCCTGAAAGAAAACAGTCCCTTCGGCTTGATATAGTGTATGTCTAAGCCAGCTATTGTTCTATATTCAATACAATTCCTCAATTACCTCGATGGAAATGGACGTCTCTTTCTCTGGGTTTTCTTCAGTCTGGAAGAAATAAATGTAAGATAATCAAAGATCAAAGAACAGTTTTGAAAAGATGTTGTGCGACATTAACTTTACCTTATATTATGCACTTTTCTTACCTGCCTAACAACGACAGCGGCGGGGGAGTCCAGGGCCTCATTGTCCATTGATTGGTTCATATCATCCGAGAGGTCAGTTCCTTCAAAAGGACCTTCCTCTGGCTCCAGCCTTTCTCCATCATCCTGTAATTAAGGTTGAATACAAAGCTGTCTGTTGATCAAGCCTAATTTGCATAAAGGCATCTTTGACTCCTACTAATCTCCTTTTTCTTTGAATACATGTATTTTTGTAACTTCCTTACTTTGCCTTTTTTATTTCACTTACTTCAATAGGGAAGACATTGCAAATTTCGGTCTCCATAAGCAAGGTGACACCGTCGGCAACCTAATAAAAAAGTTTAACACAGGGTTAAATAACAGGCGCATGACTTTTTCTTTCAGACGTGTGTTCAAATTATTCTAAAGCCCCTTGTAAATATGCAATTCACCTCAACATTTCTTGTAACTGCTGTTGCACTTTGGGCAAGTTCTTTTTTCTCTGTTGCCTTCACCTTTTCTTTTCTAGCCTGAAGTTATCATAAGAAGGACAAACTTAATAACAATAACCAAAATGAGCAGCGAACATCTATTCCTGTAACACCTCATGACTTGAGCACACATTACATACATCGTTATGGTCTTCATACAGCTTTCAAACTGGAGTCATGTTGACCGTGGCTGAAATCGCTTATCTTCTTTATTCATTTGGTACTTAATTTTGTGGGAGTTAATTTTGCTATTTTGGTGAGATAAATTTCGCAGGGTTAGGCAGCTTGAATTTTTTTTTCAGTTTCTACATAAACAGGAACCATAAATCAACACTCATAGTAAAATATCAAAATTAACTTTTAAGTGTATTAACGTCATTTTAAATCAGAAGATACAAAATGAAACTTACCAGTAAAGCGTGTTACTAATTTGTGTTTTTGTCGATACGTATCGTAATGTTGTGTTTTCACATGCTGGTCTTTTTTTCTTCCGTACATTGATATTGCATTTCGTGAGGATTATTACTCCCAGTGTTAAATTTGGGGATTCTTTCACAATCGCGAAAAACGGAAAATCAGTTAGACCCGCGAATTTAAGTGACATTAAAGTAGACACTAACATTCATCCCTTTACAGGTATCGTAAGGATACCGGAAATTGATGAATAAAGGAACTCACGGTGCAGTTTTCCCCATGGTCTTCTACCACATGCGATTGGTCTTTGATGTCAACATAATCCTACAAACACCCATGAGGATAGTTGATAAGTATTAAACTTGCCAGAAATATTTAGAAACCTGGTGATGACTTCATTGTGCATCAAAGTTATCGGAACCTCGAAAACTCAAGGGAATAACTCGCTTAATTTTTTAGTCTCTTTTTTGGATCAGACAATCCATTTTTATAGGGATAAGTAAGACCCGTACTACATAAGTCGCGTTCAAAAAAGAGATGTGGACTGTACCTTTTATACAGACAAGGTGCGAAATGGGCCATTAATAGGGGACGTATAAATGGTACAATTGTTTAGAACAAGCACTTATGAAAGTGTAGCGTGTTGATTGCACTGACTGTAGAATATACGTACATGTATATAGTTACCTCCTCTACTGAAATCTCCTTTTGAATGAACTGAATTTTCAAATTAGACAATTCTTCCTTGAGCGCTTTATTATCCTGAATTAGTTGAGTTCAAATAATTCGTCTTAGTTGTGGTAAAGAGTAATAATCCTAAACCAAGAGCTATAAACTGCATACAACTAAAAAGGAGAAAATCATATTCAGCCTTACCTTCGATAACGATAGAATTTGTTCATCTTTCCGTTGGAGTTGCCCCTCCATGTCCATCTTAAGTGACTGTATTTCTGAAATACGCTATAATAGATCGCTTTTTTGTTAAAAAAAGATACTAATTTGCTGAAGTGTACATGTACATGATGTTACATAGAATAAGTGGAATAAGCATCGTTCTGATTATATGGTAGAAATGTATCTTACATCCCTCAAGGTAGTCTGCAACCTTCCCACCGTCGCTCTTTCATTTGTAGCCTCTTTTTCCAAACGCTTGACATCACTTAACAATTTTTCTATACGCTGTTTGTGCTATAAAATAAATTAAAAAACAAGAATTACATTTAGACGCGAAAAGTTTGATAAGACGCAGAGTAAGTATTTCGATTCACTCGCGACCCGTTGTCAATTCGCACGGTGCTTTTAAGTTTTGTGACGACATTGTGAATCTCCAACACAAGCCGATTCCGTGTATCATGTAGGCAGTTATGTCTTTCTCTATTCAGGGGCACCCAACGAGAATATAGTTCAAAATCATTTAAACATGCATTGTTGATCATATTTTAGTATTTAAACGGTAGATATAGGCATATTATTGTCCCCTAAAAACTTTTCATGTGTTCGGATTTCCTTAATTGACAACTTAGTCACTCACCACTTTGGCGATTTCGCTGTTGGTATCCTTTTCACTTTTAAGCTTTTTACTAAGTTCCTCTACTTGTCCTTCCTGTTGGGAAAGTGATATACATTGCTGCTAAAATACGATTACTTATAGTTGACTATACTAAAGTGCAATGATTTTTCTGAAGGGGTAACATGTTGGTTTAAAGTACAGCTGTTAGCGCTTACCAGCAGTTTTTTTTGCTCCTCGCATTGCATGTGGTCCAAAGCAAATTCAACGTCCTCTTCATTGTCTTCAGCCTTGACATAGAAATTGCAATTATAACAACTTCCTAAACAACAACAACAACAAAAGTAATGCATATAGCCTACCTTCCTTTTCCTGTTGAGATTCTTGACAAGAACTTCCCCAGCTTGTAGGGCCAGGAGATTTTTGTAAATTTCCTCCTCTGGCGTAGAGGCATTAAGCCATTTGAATAAGTATGTCTTAATTGAAGAAGAGGATGCGGAGGTCGAAGAGCTGGAGATGGCTCCACGTTCAATATCTAGTAAAAGTTCCCAGCATCTTCTGCTAAATCGGGCCACATACCTTTGTTTTCTGAGGTCCTAGAAGAGTCGGCTTTTAAATGAGAATTGTATTTCATTTTCCAAAATAGACATAGGTAAGACAAATGCATACCAAATCAAAACAGTGATTTTAAGCACTTACATTTTTCCTCGTCATGCTCTTGTAATGCGTTAGGTACGTATTGACCTTCTTGTCAATATCCTTATTTTCCCCAACTTTGATTACCTCGCATGAATCTGGTTTGGCGTTCATAAAAGAGTATATACAGTGACGGGTAGCTCTTGTAACTTCCATGAAACTCTCTTGCAGCTCTGCTGGCCGGGTACCGTCAGAGTACTCCGTAGATGACTTTTTGGCTACATGTGCGAACGGGGTATTATACAATCCACTGGCCATTGCTTAAGCTGTGAGCTCAGTAACACCTTTTTTGAAACTAACAAGTCTTCAACTGAGAGTGAAAGCTTTCAACGTGAGAAGCATCGACTTGAATGACTACCTGATTGATCTGAGAGGCATTTATTTCATTTCACACGGAAAGGGAGGGGCTGAGTTTTACTACGCCACTAGGAAAATAGAAAACAAACGAGCACGTCGTCCTCTTCTTATTTTATGTACATATATTTTATTTGTTTTTTCTGATTTATCGACAAGTTTTACAATGCTTTATAATAATACAAAACTAAGAGAAAAGAAAAAAGAAAGAGGAACACAATGGCAACGACAATGAAAGTAAGCCTTCTTATGGATGTGGTGGAATGAAATGAGTCCGCGCGTGCATTAACTTTGAGTTCTTCTTTGATTTAAAATTGTCATTTAACACTGTTTTGTTTATGGATATCGAGAAAGTTCTCGTTTGGAAAGCCGAGCGATTGTTATCTTAAAAACTACTCTATCGGGCGATCTACACACCCAAGTCAAACCTAGTTAGTGGTCAACGATACATATTACAGAGGGAAAATCAGAAGCTTCACTGGTACCTAGAATTTCCGCAAAAATGAAATGTGCATGAAAGCCCTTATCCCTCCACAATGACGAATAATAAATTTCAAATTTTTACGACAAAGTCTCTGGAAATTACACAAAAGTAAATACATATAAAATTTAGCAATGCTCTTCTTGACGTTGTGTCCATTAATGACTCCCCTAAGAGCCGTTTGCTTAACACTGGACGATAACATTTCAGTGAACTATGACATCGTGGGCGGGTATAAAAAATGAACAGTCTTATCAGGTTTGCCTGTCTCGTCCTTTACGGCGAACACTTGTAACTCGCTATGGTCATGAATAAACAGTGTTGTATCGATAGAAACGGCCTCATTAACTAGTTCTCTCATTTTAAAAGTTTAGCTTGCTTTTCTGAATAAAACAGTGGCTTGCTAACGCAGTAGAGAAGTTTCATACTTTCATTATGAGACATTTAGCGGTACCTCAGGACTCTTGTAGGAGGTTATTAAGGTCACATCTGTGACCCTTTCCACCTCTCAAGCATGATCGGTTACACATCTCCATGAACAGACGTTTGTTCTAACCGCATATCTGAAACGTATTTTAACACGAATTGAAGGGCAATTAAAAAAAAAAACAGTAAGATTAATATCTCGGTATAGTCACCACAAGATGTGCGCTGTTATCTCTATCAGTGCCTGTGGCACTAGTCCTGCATGTCAAAGGTTTTTCAAAAGGCTGTGAGGATAGGGACCAACCAAGACCCACTTTATTTTGAGTCACTAAAATTTGAAGGTTGATGTAAGCGCCGTAATAAAATCCGCAGACTATTTTTTTTCCAAGCTTTGGCGTTTATGTGATGGGATTAGTTTTGTATCTAATCGACTGTATTTTTGGTCTCCACAGTAAGCCTTGCATGTCCAATCTTATAAATTAATTTACTTGTAAGGATGTTTGACATTTTACAGCCTTTTTAACGTCGTATTAAGTAAACATCAGAACTCTCTCTCTTTCTCTCTTTTTTTTTTTAAGAAACATGTTTTGTTCTATTTCTTTTAACACTTGGACCTAAATGTCATTGCCACTTTGACATAGATATTTCCAGCCGAGTTTCCGTTGTTCTCGGTCTAACCGGGTTTGACCTCACCCGGCCTTCCCGATCATTTTTCGAGATCCACGTCCTCTGCGTTTAACATTACAGCACAAGACAAAAGTTATTTGTTTTGCGCACTTCAATATCGAGCCTGATTTTATAGGCTAGGTATATATTCCACTGTTACATTTTTCTTCGCCCGTTCCCTCACAATAACAAAGAAATGATATGGACCATTAAAGTAGGAGCCTTAGGGTTCATATTGATTTAGCATTGTTCGTGTTCGCCTGTATCTTCACAGGAAGAATACAACGGCATCATCGTCGTCCTCATATGACATGTCCCTTGAAGATCTTGGAATGGCGCGAACAATTTTTTAAAACTACGAAATAACACTTTCCATTCTCTTGAAAATGCTTATACTATCCAGCAAGCTGCACAGCTCACGTTTCACACTCTAAATTCCTGTTACTGGTATGTTTTAGTTAGGTCATCGCTCCGGCATTCAAAGATGGAGTTGCGCCTGAATTTGCTTTTAAAAATCTTGTTCAAAGAATTCTTTATACTTGCTCAAGTTTAATTTAGTAAAATGTACTGACGGAGTTGACTCCCATTGGAGTTAGTGAAATGAACCCGCACTTTAACCCATCCTGAACAGAACCACGAGCCATGACATATAGCGAGCCAAACAAATTGAGTCTGAATTTTATTCCGTCCTTAGCAAGCAAACGGTACTTCACATATTTATGTTAATTTATTATAAATTTCTTTACCTTAAATCTTTATTCCCATTGGAGTTTGTGCGGGACGTACCACACTTAAACCAATCCTTCTCTGGCATCAAACCGCGCAAGGCTCGCGCTAAAGCGCACCAAAATCAAATACATAAACATTGGACAGAAAGATCATTTCATTCGACTCGATGATATCACCACGATATCACCTAAAGGACAGTCATGTTGCCACGTAATTCGGACCGCTTTCGTCTTTGGTTTGGACTTTCAGTGATAATGTATGCATTAATATCACTGTTGTTGTTTTATTGTATCACTGAAAAGCCGGCCTTGCCGGAACAAAAAAATTTCGTCAAAATAGCCGAGCGTAGCAGTATAATACCGCTGACGACACTATTTGTTGTGCTCTCCCGTGAAATGAAAATCGGGAGTATAGAAGAAACACAAGGAGGAAGAGGTTAGACAGACAGTGGTGATGACGACGATGAGGATTCGTTCTCGTTGGGCAGATCACGTTTTCCACCGCTTGAATTTTGGGAGTACCCTGCAAAAACTGTGTTCTCGAGCTTCGAAGAAGACATCTCTCTCTACATGGCAAGCCTCTCACCACTAAGTCACACAGAGGAGGTCAAAGAAAACGATATCGTCCTAGCAGATTTGGCCCTTTCGGCACATATCCAGGAGAAGGTGGGTAATTGCGTTATGAAATTCTTGCATTGCTAACCAAACTTATTGCAACGATGTTTATCATTTTCCTCCAGTAACTGGAAGGGTAGATCTATTTGGTATATATGGGATATATTCATATTTCCAGTATTTGCTCGTCACCTAGGCAACTTACTGCTGGGTTGTTACTGAATGATTTTCATGCAAGCTTAATCGGGTATTTTTTATGGTGTACAAGTATAAATTAACAGCGTATTATTTCTGTATAGGAATTGAAAAAAGAAGAGGCTTCTACCCCATCTGTATTAAGACTTAGAGGGGGAAGTCGGAAGATTCGTAAGGTACGAGTAAGTTGTGTTTATCATGTGCGTAACAAGTACTGTACTGTAAGCTTCTAATATTAAACGACCACACAAATAGTTTCTTTTTAAACTAAGACATTGCTCTGTTGCTGTTGTTTTGTGTTTTTTAAACAGTACATTGCTTGTCTCAAGTTGTTAAAAAAAAAAATCCAAAATGTTACCCAAACCTGAATGGAGCAAGTGCGATCTTTTACAGGGACCCGATACTTCTCAGGATATTAAGAGAAGTTGTTCATGTGGGGGAGCGTGTAATCACTATCCTTTCCTTGATGATGCTCGCGAAACTGACGAGGATTATGAAGAGTACGAGGAGGTATGCGAATTTATGACAACATAGGAAAATAACTTACCCACTTTCAGGTTAAAAAGCCAGTGATTCTCCCCTGGGACTTATTACTCTGGTCGACATTTATCTGAAAGCAATGCAATACGTCCTCTTTTTGCAGGAAATGGAAGACGAGTTGGATGTTTTTTCTTTAGGAACCGTTTTGGACTGCAGCTTTGATGAAGACCACCGGGTAAGAAAAAAAGTCAAAACTTATAAGGTTATGGCAAGCATGCATCAAAATAAACAGATAAATAAACTAATAGTATTCGTGATAACAGTGATTATTGTTGTTACTATTATTACTATATTTTTAAAAATAGTGCGACTTTTGTAATTTTAACAAACATGTTTCGACGGTACATCCGTCATCGTCATCGTCAGTGTGCTGCTGACTCGGCTATTACTATGTTATTACTACGATATTATGGTTAAGAATATTATTATTGTTATTGTTATTATTATTATTATTATTATTATTATTATTATTATTATTATTATTATTATTATTATTATTATTATTGTGAAAGGTTTGAACCCTGGACTTGACTCTGAAGACACATCAGTCACTGTCAACAACAACAGTCCTCTTCAGAGCTACGTTCACCCGGGCGATCATACTCAACCTACTTATTATTAGCATTATTATTACTAAAAGTGTATGCATTTGACACAAACCTGTATGCCTATTTATAGGAGAATGGTACGCGACCATCTGCAGAAAGCGAAACTATTTTAAATGTTGCTGCTAGCACAAGCACCCCAAGCAGACTGACACGCAAGCGGAAGCTTCAAGATATAAGTGAGGACAAAAAGATATGCTGTGGCAGAAAATGTCTCAAAGTTGTTTTAAGCGACCAAAATGTTAGGGAGACAAGGGAACAGTTTTTGAAAAAAGGCCTTAAAAAGCAAGGAGAGTGGCTGCTGAACTTTTTCGAAATCAGTCAGAGAGTGCAAAATGGAAAATCGACCTTTGACTACTATGTCCAAAAGAAGAAAGTCTGCCAAAAAGCGTGGCTTACGAGTCATGGCATTTCAAACGGAAGGTATGATTAAACCTTCAGATGAGGGTATACTCCATTTTAGTAGACCTTAATTATTCACGATACCCGCCATCTTTGCACGCGCTAAAGGACTGATAAGAAAAAAGCAATGTCACATGGTTTCCCAGGGGGCAAACAAATGTTAGCATAAAGTACATTTCGAGGTTCCACAAGATTTACGTCATTACTGTTGGCTGTGAGGACATCTACGGTCGCTACGGCATCCAAATAAGTAATGATGTTTACTTCTACCCATAATTTGCCATTATCGTCTTTCCCATGAAAAGTTCTTTATTTCCTGTTGTCTAGAGTAGACGAACGCGACCTCGATTTCTTGCATTGGCAGCTTTTATCATTTGTGTGCCCCCTGAGAAACCACATGACATTGCTTTTTGCCCATCAGTCCCTTAGCAGGTGCAAAGATGGCGGGTGTCGTGAATAAGGTTTATTTGTCCCCTAATTGTTGCAATTTTCCTTTATTTTACTTACTAAAGGTTTCACAAGTGGAAAAATGAATGGACAGTAAAGCGACTAAGCAGCCGGGTACATGCTCGAAAAGGAACGACATTTGAATCTAGACGGTTCATAGAAGCGGAACTTTGGTTTGGCGATATGGTTGATTCCTTGGCCAATAGAATGCCAGACTTAAGCAAGAGGGAGTTGCCAGCATGCCTGACTTTTCAAAAAATATACGAAATGTATACGGAATCGGTTCAAAATCCGCTCAAGCCTTCACAGTTTCGTAGAATGAGGCTGAACAAGTTTCCCGACGTTATTATTCCAAAGGTGGATAGGTTTGGTTACTTTATTCGATTAAAAATCATTCTTATTAATTTTGATGTTTATTATTCTTTTCAGATTTGTTGATTGTTGCAGGTCAAAATTAAAGTCAGGTTAAAGTTTTTTAACCTAGGTTGATTCTCAACCTCCTTTGTATCTTTGCCCTAATACAATAATAATTGGGGCCAGGAGACAAAGGGAAATAGAGAATCAACCTAGGTTAAAAAATTTTAACCTGAATTTTTATTTTGACCTGCAACATTATTTTTTTCCTTTGTTTGCAACCTCCGTTTTTTCCAGCGGTTGTTAAATTATTGCTAGTTAATTCACTAATTTATTTATTTGGCTCTTATTCCGACAGAGAAACAGATTTACAAAATGCGGGGTGTGTCTGTTAATTACGGAGCACATCCGTGCAACGACCGACAAAAAAAAAAGAGTTACATGGACGGAGAGAAAGCAGCTACATATGGAACAACAAGCGTAGGCAGTTTTAACATTTGATCATACTTTATAAGTAAACCAAAATAGACATCAAGGCGTTTTTAAAATATTATCTTACAATAATTTTCCTCTGGATGTAAACAGTCTTCAATTTAAATAACTTCAAGTTATTTTAAAATGCAGAGGGAGAGATAGAGAGATTAGTTTTGACCTTAAGGTACAAAATATTCAGAATTACTGGCAAACGCAGATTGCAATTTTACATTTTCTAACCTGAATTATCAATGCAACCATTTTCTTCTTTATTTTAATCAGTTATTTACCTTTACTCTTTCAGTGGTGAAAGAAAAAAATACTATAAACACCAAAAAAAGGCAGAGCAGCGCCCAGACAAGTATTTGAGCTTGATAATCGATGGAATGGATCAAAGTAAGACACACCTACCCCACTGGATTCAAAAGTCGAAGGTTAGAATAAGCTCACTTGACATAGTAATAGGCGTAGAAGCTAAGAAGAAGCTTATTCCTGCATGACCACGGTGATGTCCGAGTAAGCATTTAATCCCCTCTTTTTGTCTGTTTCAGCTCGAGGGAGAGTGTGACGGATTTTTAAAAACGCATGTAACAGGAGTCCTGTCACACGGGCACAAAAAAGCATGGTGCTTCATCGACTTTATGCGATGGCCTCAAGATGCCAACCCGACAATAAATTGTTTAATCTCTGTCTTCAGACATCTTAGACGCACGGTACGTACGCACTTGTCAGTGGGCTTTATCCGAAATGTACACTGGAGAACAGACAGTACTACAAGTGTTAGCATCTAAAATGTGGGCGGATAAATCATTCAACAGTGCAAAAATTGCAAGGACTATTTATTCTTGTTCCTTTTTTTGTTTTTCAACAGAAAACTAGTTTACCGCCGACGTTGTATTTACAACTAGACAATTGTTACAGGGATTGCAAAAATATACATATTTTGGGATTTTGCGCTCTGTTAGTAAAAGCTGGCGTTTTTAGAAAGGTTGGTTGGACTTTTTATTGTTGTTCAATGCCGTTTTATGTCCGTTTGAAAGTGATTTGCTACTGACTTGACTTTCACAGAAACAGTAAAAGCACTTAACAAATATTGTATGCACCCAATTGCACAACCGCTGTCTTATAAAAAAAAAAAAAAAAAAAAAGAACAAACTAAGGGAAATTCTTGATTTTTGGCCAGGCAAATTTGATAGTCCAGGAATTAAATTTTGAATTCTTTTGCACTACAGTGCCAGTAATACTTCATTTGACCATAAGTAAAGTAAATTGGTCGCTTTACTATATTTTCTTCTTCATTCTTTCGTCGGACCTTATCGCTTGCAGGTACGATTGTCTTATCTCATGGTGGGCCACACTCATGAAGATATCGATCAGGTAATTTTGAAATTTTTCAACATGCCATTTCATTTCATGCCACTCTTGGAAGGAATTTACCAATTGCTCTGTACTATCGATTTTACTTTTTGTATTAAGATGTTTAGCCGTATCTCCGTGGCACTGGCGAGAACGAATGCAGTAACGCTGGACGACCTCATACAAGTCATACGGGGAGCATACAACCCTACCCCCATCACATGTTCAGTTGAAAACATATACGACGTGAAGACTTGGCTTCGCCCCTTTGTTCCTTCCCTTAAGCACCACTCCAACCCACACGCCTTTCGCTTTAAAATGAATCAAAACGGTGAAGTCGAGATGTCTTACAGACCCTTCGCGAAGTCCGGTAGGAAACAGTGGTTGCCAGAGGAGGGGCCGATTGTCCTCTTAAAGCAAGTTCCACCTGGCAAACCATCAGTCATCAAACCTGACATGAAAAAATGTCCATCTGTTGAAGTCATAAAAGATTCCGTTGAAAAGCTGGGGGTAAGGATGTCGTCAGCACAACTGGATTGGTGGAGGAAAATGGCTGAAGACGAGGAAAGGAAAAGAAGACAGTGGGAGTCGCTGACACCAGACCAATATCGAAAAGCGGGAGAATCTTTTGATTTACTAGAATTTAAGTTTCAAAACGAAGACCCGGATCCTGACGAAGACGGGGAATACGGAGAGAGGAACAGGAAGCTGCTGCGACTGATTGAAAAGAAAGAAAACCATTTGCCGGTAGGTCTGGCTGATGATCAATGTTATGCCGGAAATTTTTCTACATATAAAAAAAATAACAGGCCAGATATTCAAAAATATATTTGTACATTTTATGGCAGCGTAGGTGAGCTAACACGAATTAAAATTATACGTAGTAGAAGGCTATTATCATAACCTGACTGCAAACAAAAAGTTAGCCCGTAGAACAGGGTTGGGTTTGGGCGCTTTCCATTCTAGCGAGGGCAAGCGCGAAAGCATGGGGCGCGAGAAGCGATGCGAAGGAACGCACAGAGAGAAGAAATAACTCCCGAGCGTTACTAGACAAAGCAACGCGTAAGTGGAAGTCTTATACAGGCATTCCGTGTAAAAACACTGTCATATCCCTAACTCAATAATTTCAATTTCAGGTACAAGTGGTGAAGATGCCGCATTCTGAGAAAAACAGAAAGTAACTCCTGGTGGAAAGTCCTTCAGAACAAATCTCAACAAGACAGGCAAAATAAACAAGAAAAGTATTGAATGAAAAAAGAACAAAAAAAAGGCAAAGAAAAAGAAAAGAATTTTGAAACCGAACAATACGAACTGACAGTTTGTCAGTAGTGCTTAGAAGCTACACGTAGTCGCTAAAATTTTAACCTGTGATGGAAGTGAAAACATCAAGACAAGCCCTAGATTCTATATATTCTGTAAAAAACTAAGACAAAAATTGTGAGATTCATAATTTCTGCCATATACATTTCATAGATGTTGTAAATCCGCAGGACTCGAAGTGGGAAACCAATTCAGTCATAAATGCATTTCTCTCTCTTTCTTTGTTTCGTTTTTAGTCGTGAAAGAAAAAAAAGAAGGAGAACAACGAATTGTTTAATACTGACTTGTTTGGCTTCAACCGCTATTATGTAAAAATTTCAGTATTAAACCGAGGGTGCTCCTTGGCGCCGACACTATTACAATGAAGTAATAGTCTTTGGAGGAGAATTAAAAATTTACAGTATTTTAACATATTTTAAAAATACAACCTTTCCAACAAGTTACTTTTCTTACATTACAACGCGCGCGTCCTAAAAACAATAGGCCATAATGTTCTGAAATTTGATCAACGGTCATCAAGGGTTAATTAACCTTGTCGACATGACCGGAAGTCTTCACTTTTAATTCAACGCGAACAAGAAAAGTTCTCTGACCTGCGTTTGACGTGAAGCCAACCAGTGCAAGACTTAAACTTATACTCTGATATTACTAAAGCTTATTAATAGTCAAGGAAGAAAGAAATCGTCCTTCGTTGATTTGCCGGTAATTTGCTGATTTGCTACAACGACTATAATGTAACGGTACTATGAAAAGTCAGACCTGATGATGAGACAAGACCACAGCATAGAGGTCTTTGCCGCCAAAAGGGCGCGAAAATCATTGACGAGGTTATTGACCTTAATAGGCTACAAAAGTTGCTAGACAATGAAAATGGTAGCTGCGGATTCCTTTCACTGTGTACTAGTGAGTAAGAGTAAGATGGCCTTACATTAATAATGCTTACCACTGCAAACGAAAACATTATGTAGGACGTGGGAGGCAACCTGTGACGATGAAGTGCCAACCGCAAAAGGTAGGAATGTTTTACGTCTTGTGTTAACCCAGTGCAATAAGGTGCACACGTTGCTCATCAGGGCGACTAACAGCTGACTTATAATAATTTGGCCTAAATTGAGTCTCCTTTAGTCAGCTGCTGATATTGGCCTCTGACTACTGAGGTTTCCGGACAGGTCTCGTAAAATACAACAACGACCTCAAATTTATAAGTAGGAGTAAAGGCCGACTATTTGTTGCAGGTTTAAAAAGTAAGCTTAAAAAAAAATCCACGAAAGGTTGTTAGAGCTGTAGCGAGGGCAAACAGAAACGTGAGCAGATCGGATTCTTCGGAAACCACATTGCACATGATTGAGATATCTCCAAGAATAAACTCAAGCTTATTCGCTACCGAGCGGAATGATTCCGCTATTTTAATTTGTGATTATTTCTCATTACATGATGAAATTAGATATTTTACTATCCCGGTCTCAATGAAACAGAAATGCGTATCAGTATGCCGGACACACGCTAATTTAGAAAAATATCGTTGAGCGGAAAATAACCTCAACGAGGGGAATGAATCAATTCTATCACAAGCCTGAACCATAACTGAATCACTTCAGTACACTACGAACAATTCTACTCCGCTTAAATTTTTAACGCTTTTAGCACAAAATGAAATGGGTAACCCTTCACTTTTGAAAGGAGGAATGTTTTTATTCTGTCATTTTTTTCCCGTGCTTTTGTTCTTCACACCGAAATTTAATTATATAACATTCATATATTCATCATCTCAGTAGCGAAGTTTCATTGAAACTGGAGAAAACACCGTCCTTCAACTGATACTCAACGGTGGTCGGATTAAGGGTAGTCTTTTTTTTTTTGCACTTATCTTGAAATATTAGCAAATCGATTTTTGATTTTTTTTTTGCGTCTAAGACTTCTCGCACGTCTTCTGGCTTCGTATCCTAGCGCCTGTGAGGAAATTGGTCGGCCGACAAGCTACAAAAATGTTGAGTAACCACAAAACCCTTCTCGCATAACCAAACTGACGGACTTTGTAATAAGTTTATGGGAGCGGTAACAGTATGTCTTTATCTTCATTGTGTAAATGACCTTGTAACCAGATAGTATTATCTGTTATTTATTTTAAGATCGGAAACAGTGTGAAGTTACTAGTATGATAAGAGAACCACTGATTGGCTCATATGCGAGATATCCCAACATTCCAAAATATCACGTCCTTGTCTAAGGCCATGTGGCATGTCGCTTACCATTGCGTGACGTAGCATCTCATGTGGGAGTTAAACAGTTACTCAATTGAACATTATACCCTTTTGGAAGACTTTCGTGACAAGAAAAAAGAGTACTATTATTAAGCACCTTTTCAAATTCCACTATTATGAATAAAAAATAAACAAGTGAGCCATTCTAAGCAGACAATAAGGGTTATTTCCACGCACCCCTCCACCCAATCCCTCTGCTCCCCGAAATATAGTGCGACTAATTTGACCCAACCGTTACGAGTCAAAACGCTGTTAATAAGAAGCAGTACATTTCTCAATTCTGGTTCTTAAAACTAACAAAGCGATTTAAATTTAAGTTTTGTTTTTGTCTGAAATTGCGTTGTAAAGCCTTTCTAACTATCCTAGTAAATATATATAATATATTTTTTTTTTACATGGTGATCTACAATGAGCACATTCCCCAGGACATTCCTTTGTCCGTTTTGTCCCGGGGGAGGAGCTCTCTTACATTAACCCTACAGATATTGCTCTGAAATAGTGTAAAGATTAGATGAGGCGGACGGTGCAACCCTACTACGAATTCCCAGAAATACCCCCCCCCCCCCAAGAAAAAATGAAACGTCGAAGATAAACTGGACGAAAAAGATGTGTGTTTGAGTAGTTTTTTTGGCACTTATCTTGAAATATTACCAAATCGATTTTTGACTTTTTTTTTTCGTGTAAGAATTCTCTCACGTCTTCTGGCTTCGTATCCTAGCGCCTGTGAGGAAATTGGTCGGCCGACAAGCTATCAAAATGCTGAGTAACAACAAAACCCTTCAATTCTCGCATAACCAAACTGACGGATTTTGTGTTAAGTTTATGGGAACGGTGACAGTATGTCTTTATCTTCATTGTGTAAATGACCTTGTAACCTGATAGTAGATGTCTTATCTTTTATTTATTTTAAGATCGGAAACGGTGTGAAGTTACTGGTATGATAAGAGAATCACTGATTGGCTCATATGCGAGATATCCCAACATTCCAAAATATCACGTATCTTTGTCCCCATTTGATTGGTTTAGATGCGGGATGATCCCACACACTTAATAGCACTTACAATAGATCGTTCTGATTGGATTATCAGTGAAATATCCCGAGGAAAAAGGCCTTACTCTCCAGTTCCATTTTTAAATGGAAGTTTCCATTTTTAAATGGAGAACTGTTGTTAACTTACTTCTGTGGCGGGTCGTTACAACAATCGCACTTTACAGGTTAGCAAATTCTTTTAACAGATTCTTTAGGTCAGCGGATTTATAGACAGACTGTAAATTATTTTCTTTCTCACTTCGATTCTGCTGAAAAACTGGTTTGAAACACAATAAGCTAATACAATTCTTGTCGTCAAATAAATCTATCCAATAACAAACAGGCAACGTTTGTTACCTTGCATTTCCATTTCCACCGTTTTATTCCTTGGCTTCATACCCTTAGCCTGTACAAAAAATATTTACTATTTTTCTATAATTTTCCTTCTTCGCCCACCTCTCACCCCTTCATAATTCCCTCCTATCGTCCTCTTATTTCCCGCCCTCTGTAGACCTCTAACCCCTTAATCCTTCGAGGTACCCCATCCCTGTCGTCGTTTTCTAGGTCGTGGTTTTCTAGGTCGTCGTTTTCTAGGTCGTTGTTTTCTAGGTCGTTGTTTTCTAGGTCGTTGTTTTCTAGGTCGTTGTTTTCTAGGTCGTCGTTTTCTAGGTCGTGGTTTTCTAGGTCGTTGTTTTCTAGGTCGTGGTTTTCTAGGTCGTTGTTTTCCAGGTCGTCGTTTTCTAGGTCGTTGTTTTCTAGGTCGTCGTTTTCTAGGTCGTTGTTTTCTAGGTCGTCGTTTTCTAGGTCGTCGTTTTCTAGGTCGTCGTTTTCTAGGTCGTAGGTCTTCGTTTTCTAGGTCGTCGTTTTCTAGACACCCCAAAGTTTCTGAGTTCTTTGCCGAAACGTCGAGAAACGTTTCACGCACCTTTGTAGAGCTTTGTATGGAGACGCCGTATTGGTGCACCGTTTTGGTGCACCAATATGGCGGCCCGAAATCAACAAAACATCCGGAATTCACTTTTTCTATAAAAGCTCTTTCTTTTCACTCGAGAACTAGCATACGTGAGCATAAACATATCTTCTAATTCGGATTCTAATACCTGAAATGGTTATACTGCTGAAAATCAAGAGAAGAG